TGTGAATCAGGAATCCACTCAATGGCAGTGAGTTTGGTTTTCTTTTTCGAAGGATCATGTAGTCATGAGTTATTCCCTGATGGCCTTGGTTGGAGAATCCTGAGCCAATCTTGTAGACTTTTCTAGCTGCAAAAGTAGATGCATCCCAATCATGGTCCCTTTCCCATTTTTGTAGCACTGCCTGTAACCAGGGAATTGATTGGAAGCCTGTCATGTCCATTTTGTGACAATTTCCTTTGTTCTCCATGTCCTACTTAAGTGGACACATTTCTGTGACTCGTTGGGCACTCTTACGGCCTCCTGCTTGTGTTCTCCTTTATCTGGATGAGCTGCCTTTGTCTTGTCTTTGTCCTACTTAAAGCTTATTAAAAACCAAAGCCAGTTGAGTTAGTTAATTGTGCCAGCCTGGCCGATAATCACATGTGGTGCTGGTTGAAAGGCAGAGGGATAAATGGGTGGTGAAGCCTCGCCTTTCTAGTTCTCGGGTCTCTTGTTTTGTGATGGTTGTATCGGGTGCAGCTGCCTTAGCAGTTCCCTGCTTCAGCTTGCAAGATTGACTTCCTCCAAGACATCCCCAAGGAGAAGCCGCATGGATCTATCCCGATGCAGCCCTGGGTGCTGGAGCAGCCATGTGGAGACCCCTGCCAGCGCTGAGATGCTTACACGTTCACTGACTCAGCTTTCCTCCTGCAGTCGGCATCATTGCCTCTGTTTTGTGAGGTGGAGGACTTTGTGGACTGGTGTTGGGTATGGGTTAATGTTGGACTTGTGGGCTTGGGCAGCATTGGGTTGGGATGTTTTCGTGATGCGCCTTTTCTTTGCATAAAACTCTCTCTTATACGTGAGTCGCCGTGGATTTGTTTCTCCAAAGTACCCAGACTAATACACCAGTTCACTGCCATCCAGTCAGTTCTGGCTCACAGCAACCCTACAGAGCAGAGTAGAACTGCTGTGGTTTTCTGAGACTATAAATCCTTGTAGGTGTGCAAATCCTTATCTTTCTTCTGAGGAGTGTTGGTGGTTTCTGAACTGCTAACTTTACAGTTAGCTGCTACCAGGGCCCCTTAGACTTAATAAAGGGGATTCCATTAATGACATTTTAATTTGAGATCTCTTTTCTCCCCTAGGACATTCACAAATATACATAATCAACCTATTACTCTTATTTTCTTTAGCTCTAACTCTTCAATTGCTTTTAGGATATTTGGAGCGGAAATTACTAATGTATTTTATGGCAATAGTGCATGTATTTGCAAGCCATGTCCTCTCCTCAGTAGGTTATATAGTGTGTTTCTTTGAGAGCAAAAAAAAACTTTTGTTTTATTCACTGTGCAAAGGCATTCAACTATGTGGGTCACAACAAACTATGGATAACATTGTGAAGAGTTAGAATACTTAATTGTCCTCATGCAGAACCTGTATACATAGACCAAGAGGTAGTTGTTCTAAAAGAACAATGTAATAATGCATGGTTTAAAATCAAGAAAGGTGTGTGTCAGGGTTGTATCCTTTCACTATACCTATTCAATCTGTATGCTAAACAAACAATCTGAGAAACTGGACTATATAAAGAAGAATGTGGCACCAGAATTGTAGGAAGACTTATTAACAACCTGCATATCTGTGATATGTAGACGATGCAACCTTGCATGCTAAAAGCTAGGAGGAGTTGAAGCACCTACTCATGAAAATTAAAACCGACAGCCTTCAGTATGTAAAGAAAGTCCAAGTCTTCACAACTGTACTAATATCATGATAATATCATGATAAATGGAGAAAAGATTGAAAATGTGAAGGATTTCATTTTACTCAGATCTACAGTCAATGCTTATGGAAACAACAGTTAAGAAATCAAATGATGTATTGCTTTGTGTAAATCTTCTGCACAAGACCTCTTTAAAGTGTTGAAGGAAAAGAATGTCACTTTGAGGACTAAGGTGTGCCAGACCCAAGCTATGATATTTTCAGTCGCCTCCTATGTTTATGAATATTGGACAAAGAATACGGAAGACAGAAGAAGAATTGATGCATTTCAATTATGGTGCTGGTGAGGAATACTGAAAATACCATGGACTGCCAGAAGAGCAAACCAATCTGTCTTGGACGAAGTACAGCCAGAGTGCTCCTTGGAATTGAGGATGGGGAGATTTTGTCCCATGCACTAAGGGCATGTTATTAGGAGAGACCGGTACTGGGAGGAAAGACAGTAAGCTCGGTAAAGCAGAGGGTTCGTGAAAAAAAGAAAAACAGGAGGATTGTCAAGGAGATGGACTGACACAGTGGCTGCATCGATGGGCTCAAACATGAGAACAATTGTGGGGATGGCCCAGGACCGGGCACTGTTTCAAAAATACTTAAGGTACTTAAGAAAATACCTCTTGAGAGCAATTAGCAAACAAAAATAGAATATACGTGTTATTTGTGTAAAACCTACAGGTAAATGTTGAAAACACAAAGAATATATTTCCTTTATCTCCAAATTCCAGTGTTTCCTTTATCTCCAACGTCCATCTCAATTTCCAGCTTTCTTCTATTTCCATTATAGTGGCTCCATCATAATGTAGATTCTTATTCCTTCAAAGTAGGGTCATAGGCATTGCTGATACTAATCCCTACCTTTCACGGCTGCCAGGGTGGAGTGGAAATTCCAGATCCGTAGCTTACTAGCCATGTGACTGGAAGAATTAACCTCTTAAATTTTTAGTTTCTACAAAATGGAGCTGGGAGCAAGAAGTAGATTAGTGTCTAGGTGGTACAAATGATTAAGGGACTCAGCTGCTAACTGAAAGGTTGGAGGTTTGAGACCTCTCAGAGGTGCCTGGAAGCGAGACCTTTAGAAAAATCAGTCAATGAAAACCTTAAGGCACACAGTTCTATATTTGACACACATGAGGTTGCCATGGATCAAAATTGAATCAATAATTATTATTTTACTTGGTTGTTTTTTCAATAGTTAGAATTCCTAAAAAACACATTATGTGCCATATAGGTATGGGATGTATAGATATTACATACAAATATGTATATGTGTAAACATAAAACCCAAAGCCAAACTCATTGCTATCAAGTCGATTCTGACTCATAATAACCCTGTTGGACAGAGTCGAACTGCCCCTGAGGATTTCGAAGACTGTAAATCCTTACAGGAATAGAAAACCTCATCTCTCTCCCTGGTGATTTTGAACAGATAGCCTGGTGGTTAGCAGCCCATCATGTAAGCTACTACACCACCAGGGCTTCATATGTAAACATACCTATGCTAATAAGGATTCCTGTGGCACCGTGCATTAGGCTACCAGAAGGTCAGTAATTCAAACCCACCAGCTGTTCCATGGGAGAAAGATGAGGCTGTCTGCTTCTATAAAGATTTTCAGTCTCAGAAATCCTTGGTAGGATCCCTATAAAGCTAAATTGATTAGATGGCAGTGGGTTGGGGTTTTTTTGGGGGGGAGGGGTACATATATTAATATATACTATATATGGTATATATGTGAGTACATATAAGGAGGCCTCAAAACATTCATGGAGTTAAAAGACAATGGAAAATTTCCACGAACTTTTGGAAGACCCTGGTGTGTGTGTGTGTGTGTGTGTGTGTGTGTGTGTGTGTGTTCTTGTGAATAAACCACAAACTCACTGCCATGAGTACATGCTGACTCCTAGCGACCCCCTGTGGGTTTCTGAGACTGCAACTGTAGAAAGTCCAGTCTTTCACGGAGCTGTTAGTGGTTTCGAACTGCTGGCCATGCTGATCACAGCACAGTCCAATGCATAAACACTAGACCATCATGTATTCTAGCATATAATAGGTATTCAATAAATGACAACTATTACAGGGGGAAAGAAACTCTAAATCAAATACATTTTATGGAAAAAAAATCAACCACTGCCATTGAGTCAATTCCAACTCCGAGACTGTAAATCTTTATGGGAGTAGCTAGCCTCATCTTTCTTCCGAGGAATGTCTGGTGGGTTTGAACCACAGACGTTGTGGTTTGCAACCTCCTAGTACCACCAAAGCAAAAAAACAAAAACAAAAAAGAAAAGCCACTGACTCATAGTGATGTATAAATAACAGAATAGAACTGTTCCTGTGGGTTTCCAAGACTATAAATCTTTTTTGTCCCCTCCAAACCCTTTTAATTGGAAGGTAATACAGACAACAAATCCAGATGAGGGAGACTATCAGCATGAGGCCATGACGGTGCCCAAAAGATGCACAATTACATGGCCACATTGTGTCACAAAATTGGCAGCAGATAAATTCATGACAGTTACAAGTGGGACTACAGAAGCAGGCAAATGGCCTTGATTGGGACATGTACACTATTGCAAATTAGACAAGTTTACAAATTGTTGCAGGGCCCTCTGGCCATGGTGGTTCGTATATGCCTCCTGACCATGGTATCTACTCTAGTATTCCAATTTCCATTGAGGACACACTCCTCCCAGGGCTGGCTAGGTGAATGGCAGCAAATTCACTCTACCTGAGGGCTTCTCACATTTTGGGGTGAATGGTCAAAAAGAACTCAATGGAGGGCCAACCCAAGCAGAGACTCAAAATGAATTGAAGGCTTCTTCAGTAAACCATGTTTACACTGCTGTCAATCTCGTGCTCAATTTAAGCTCTAATTCACAAAACTGCTACCCTGAAATACACATTTTAATCTATGCTTAACAAATTGCATTAACTATCACTCACTTGTAAAGATAATTTCCTTAAACATTCTGTTCCTCATCAATTCTCAATCACTCTCTTTCTGCGCAAGGTGTATTGTCTGCACTTCTCTTTTCTCTCTTTCTTTGATTTAATCATTCTTTGAAATGAATACCAATCCTCTCGTTTCATGACTTTCGGTTTTGTCTTGGGCAACTGCAAAGCCAACACCCACAGGGTTAAAGCTAGTCGCTGAAGCCACCTCCCCCTCCTTCTGTCGGTCCTCCTTACAAAAGGCTGGCAGCTGTCCCGACTGCCTCCCTAACCAAATGCTTAAGGAGGCAGAGAGTAGAGAGCTAGCCATGAATTCTTTTCAGAAAAAGGAGTCCAAGAGGACTCTTTTTTCACCTGTCTCCTTTGAAGAGGCACCCTCTCGACCTCCCAGTCCTCCAAAGAAGCCACCTCGGGTAAGTCCCAAGTTCAATTCTGCCCCTAGCAGGAACAGGCTTGTCTTTTAGCCCTCCTGATTGGCCTCAGGAGCTCCAGGTTGAGCTGAATGACGATATAGAAATCATTCTCACTTAGATTTATAATTATTTGGGGGAGGGGGGTTGGCCGACTGCCTGAACAGAAGCTTTTGTTACCTAGGTGGTAGTTGGAGTTCTTCCTCTTGGATCCAGGGCTCTGCTGTCGTTCACTGTGCGTTCTGAGTTTCTCTAGGGGGCAAAAAGCGATTTGTTGGCAAGGATGCCTGTCTGGAGAACCATGCGTGCTTGTTCTTGCTTTACCAAATTTTGCTTTACCTGTGAGCAGGGCAGGACACCAAGGAAGGTTTTAGAATAGACTCCGTCTCTGTTATTATCTGTTCCTACTTTATAGTGGAAGGTAAGGCAGAGAAACAAAGAAATGCTAATAACGGTTTGGATCATGTACTTGTTAAAACACTTCCAAATTCATTATCTCATTCGATCCATGCATAAAAATTCTGAAGTGGAGAGGATGTCATAATAATAACGAAAATTTACTGAGTTCTGACGATGAGTTTTCTTCTCCCTTAGTTACAGTATCGTAAATCTGCAGGACCAGTTCTACTCTGCCCTGTAGGGTCATCAGGAGTTGGCATAGACTCCATGGTAGTGAATTTGTGTGTGTGCGCGTGTGTAGGGGGTGTGTGTGTGTGTGTGTTACTGTGGGCCAAGAAGAGGTGCACTTGTCATTGGGATAATTAATAGAACCAAGGAAGAGAGGCTTGTGGTGTACTAACCAGAGTCAGCATGTTAAAATGGCTGGCGCCAGTTTTACATAGCTAGTGGTAGTGTGTTAACTGAACTCCATTATTCCCAGGTTGTAAGCTGAGAAGTTGAAAATCCTACTTTATTGAGTCTGTTATGCTAATTATTATGTGTTAGCATATACTGATACTTAGGGGTATTATTTATATACTGTCTGTTAGAACAGATAAGTAAGCACACATTTATGTTAGCTATTTAGTTATATTTTTTAATAGCACCAAAGAATTTTAGGCTGCTTATGAAGAGGTACATATTGATCAGGCACTAAGAGCCAGAGGCAATGTAAATCTCATGGTTGGATCTGACCATCAAGGGCAGATATTCCCCCTCTCATGTTAGTTGAGCTATCATAATGGATAAGGGAACGTGTAATAAAGCATGATATGCCTCATCTTCTGGCTTATGTGCTCCATGAAATAGAATATTTATTTCTTTCAGTGCCCTGTAGGATTATGTGAAAATGTTTTATCATTATTTTGACAGGAAGAATGGACATTTAATTTTGTAGGATTTAAGACTCATGCAACTCTATCTTCTTCTTTGGCAGGAAGAGTGGACATTTAATTTTGTAGGATTTAAGACTCATGCAACTGTTTTCTTCTTCTTCGTCCTCCTACTCCTCCTCTTCTTCTCTTCTTCCTCCCTCCCTTCCCCAAAGTGAAGACGATCTGCCAGAATACCTGTGGATCTTCACCCCACCCCAACAGTTTTATTGGCATATAATCCACAGATACAATTGAGTAATTCAATCACATCAAGAAGACTTTTACAATCATCACCACGATCAGTTTTAGAGCATTTCTTCATTCTTGTACTCAACATTATTGACTACCCACTTCCCCTCAACCTCTCCTGCCATAACATCCAAGGAACCATTAATCCAGTTACTGTCTCTGTACGCTTACATGTCCTAGATTTCATATACAGAGAAACATCTAGAAACTGACTAACAAGAATAGCAAAGTGAAATAGATAAAAATCTCCATAGAAAAGAAAGCTGCAAATAATAAAAAAATGAGAACAAATTTAAACAGATGATAAGGGAGATCAAATGACAGGGTGCTAAACTTTAACCTAACCGCATCTGCAAAACACACTTTCCAATGCATTCTTCATGTTAGCAAGCCTATTCACAACTCTGGTCCATAGTCAGAAGAGAGTCACCCACCAGAGCTTAAGTCACATGTATTTCTCTTTTGCTTTTTTAAATTTTTCCTTAAAGAGAGGACCACAGGGTGGGGTGGGAGGACTTGGGGCCAGAAGGGGGGTGGGGTAAAGGTGTGGTGGGCAAACAGCATCATAGACAGGGGAACAACTAGGGAGTAAAAATCAATAATGAGGTGGATATAGAGATCCTTGGAGTACTGGTGCAACAGCAATCTAGCTGAGAGGAAGTACTATGAGGCAGAAGTAGAGCAAGCATGATGGTAGGGCACAAGGAAAGTAAAAGGAAACAGGAATAATCTAGAAAGCAAAGCTATGGATAGAGGTATAAGCATAGAGGTGTCTGTATGTAAATACATTAATCCCCCAAAACAGAGGTATTGGTCTATGTACCTCAGTGTATATTTAATACACTGTATATTAAATATACACTGAAGTACATAGACCAATACCTCTATTTAATACACTGAGGTAGTGGACGGACTTTGGGCCTCTTCTCATACCTCCCTCAATACAAGAATACATTGTTCTAACAAATTGGCAACCGGAGATTCTCACCCTCCCAATATAATCAATGAAGACAAAAAGGGTGCATAAGCAAATGTGGTGAAGAAGGTATATGGTGCCCGACTATGAAAAGATATAGCATCTGGGGTTTAAAAGGCTTGAAGTGAAACAAGCAACCATCCAGCAGAGAAACAACAAGCCCACATGGAAGAAGCACACCAGCCTGTGAGAGTATCAGGTGTCATTGGGACCAGGTTATAGGCATCAGAAGACCCTTAACAATCAAACAAACAAAACCATATGGTTAAGAACAAGGGGGATTGAAGCAGAGACCCAAAGCCCATCTGTAGACAATGGAACATCTCCCACAGAAGGGTCACAGGAAAGGTATGAGTCAACCAGGGTGCAGTAAAGCACTGATGAAACACATAATATTCCTCCTGTTCCTTGAGGCTTCCTCACCCCCACTATCATGACCCCAGTGAAACATCTTACTTCGGACTAGACCGGAGCATGTACACAGGTATAGATAAGAGATAAGAACTCACGACACACACAACTCAGGAACAGGAATGGGAAGAGAGATACCAGAGGGGAAGGGTGAAGGGAGTGGGGGAGGAGGGAAAGAAGGGGGAACCAATCACAATGATCAAGACACAACCACACACACCCCTCCAGGAGAAAGAACAATGGAAACCATGGGGGAAGGGAGACCATGGTTGGTGTGAGATATGAAAATGATAGTAATTTATAATCTATCAAGGGGTCACATGGGTGGGGGGAGAGGGAGGGAAAAAGAGGAGCTGATTCTAAGGGCTCAATAGAAAGTAACTGTCTAGAAAAGAATGATGGTAACATATGTACAAATATGCTTGATACAATTGATGTATGGATTGAATAAGCATTATAAGAGCCCTCAATATAATGGGGAAAGAAAGAAGAGTGAGCCAGCTTTAAAATGGATAGAAAGGAGATCAAATGATAATATATTACATTTTGCCCTAACTATGTCTGCCATGATAGAACTTACAATGCTCTCTGTCTGATAACAGAGCTACTCACTTCCCTCAGCTATAGTTAGAGAAAATTCATCAGAATCTTAATCCTTGTGTGGACCCTACAGATGGATTTTGGGACCTATTGGATCTTTACCTCCATGCTAAGCTCTGTACCTGAGCCCAACAGGCCCTTAATTGGAAAACATTATGCTTCCTAGACTTCGTCCAACATGGTTACGTGAACACTCTATATATGTTAAGTGAAGAAGGAACAATCTCCACAGTGAAACTAAACAGAATTTTGATCTCTGAATCTAACTGCTTGCGCATCACGCACACCACGAGTGGGAATATTCCCTTGCCCAGAGCCTCAGATTTCCCATTTATGGGGAGAGGAGCAGGTCCTATAGTTAGGGCTAAGGAATGTTTGAGCAATTCCGTCTTAAATGAATGAGGAACAAAGTAATATCCAGATGTGTTTTCATCCTAAATCAGCCATTCAAACACTTGTTAGCATGAGAATAGCTGTTTCGTGAAGAACTCTTACAACACCCATTATTGAGGTAGAAAAAAAGAATTTTTCTAATGTGGAACAATCTAGTGACTTAAATAGGGAAAATGATGCTGTTTAAATAATTGCCTTATTGTTTCATAGAAAATCTGTGGCACCAACTATCCACTGAGCATTGCCTTCATTGTGGTGAATGAATTCTGCGAACGTTTCTCCTATTACGGCATGAAAGGTAATCTTGATTGCCCCGAGTCCTGCTCTTCCCCACTCACTCCCACTCCTCGATGGGGTCATTTCTCTTCCTGACTAACAGCAAGGTTAGCAGTTCCAACTTACTAGCTATACCTTGGGGGAAAGATGAGGTAGTCTGCTTCTGTAAAGATTTGTGATCTCTGGAACCCTATGTAGGCATTTCATTATGAATGAAAATTGACACGTGTTGCCAGTGGACCATTGATATTTGCTCTTCCTACTTGAATTGGTCCCATCCTTTGCCTAAGACATTCAGGAAAGGTCTCATAGAACTTATGTAGTAACTCCTATGGGCCAAGAACATAAAGACCTGTTAGGAGACAGTTTATAAGTGGGAAAACTCTTAATATCAGAGTTTCATTCTTCAGACCTTTTCCCGAGACCTTTGAACCCTATTATTGTTGGGAACGAAAAAAAAAGGCTGTTGGGGAGTGCAAAAGAAGGCAAGGGGGTGCTGGAAATACTACGTTATCTCTAAGATTGGCCTAAATGATGCCGAGTGTGCATGAATTGTATTTGTACATTCAGCATAGCTCCATTCAATGCCCTGCCTTCCAAGGACCATCCATAGTACTGATGGAAGTGTTGAAGGCCAGGATCACCTTAGAAGGGCAGAGATCAAATGCATTAACTCTTCATAAATTGCTTTATTATCCCTATCTTGTTTTGTTTCCCCTTTTTGCATTCCAGCTGTGCTGACCTTGTATTTCTTGTATTATCTGCACTGGCATGAAGACACTGCCACATCTGTCTACCATGCCTTCAGCAGCCTTTGTTACTTCACCCCCCTCCTGGGAGCAGCCATTGCAGATTCATGGCTGGGGAAATTCAAGTAAGGAAAATGGGTCATCATCCCCAAGATTTTACAGATGAATTAATCGAGGCTTGGACATTTTCTTTAGTTCTTGAGCTTGAGAAATGCCAACCTTGCTCTTCCTTTTTGGTTTCCTAACTCCAGGTGGTCCTGCATTCCCTTAGAGTACTTTATGCTGTCTTTTTTTTGAGCCACCCTGTCAAACTCTGCTAGTCAGCTTATTTACTTCATCATTTCTTCCATTAGCTTTAGCTACACCGCGTTCAAGAGAAAGTTTCAGAACCTCTTTTGATAGCCACTCTTTTCCCCTGCCCTTTCCTTCTTTACTTCCTTTTAATGACCTTTTGCTTTCCGCATGTATAATCTCCTTGGTGTCATCCCACAGCTTGTCTGGTCTTTGAGCTTGCATATAGTTCTAGGAGAGTAAAGAGATCCTAAATTCAAATGTAATTTATAGAAACATTAAGTTTGAAAGAGGAGAAAAATATCATCTGGATGAGGTAGCGCATCAGCAGGAGGCCATAACAATGTCTAGAAATTCATAGCTACGTGGCCACTTGAATAGGACATAGAGAACAAAGGAAACCTGCAAAAACACAATTGGTGGCAAAGCAATTCCTCACAGATGCAGGCTGAACACAGACATAGGCAGGGGGTCGTGCTAGAGATCCTTACAGTACTGCAGATCAGAAAGTTTGTAAGATTGGGTCAGGACCCTTCAACCAAGGCAGTCTCAGTAGGACTCATGACTTTGTGGCCCTAGGACCCCGATTTCTATCAAGGGCACATCAAGGCAAGGCCTCGAGGGCACAGCTTTCCACATTATTGGTCCATGGTAAGGGAGCCTGGTGGCATAGTAGACTACTCCTTGGGCTGGTGACCAAAAGATCGGCAATTTGAAATCGCCAGCTGAAAGATGAGGCTTTCTCCTCCCGTAAAGATCGACAGTCGTGGAAACGCACAGGGCAGTTCTCCTCTGCAGTTAGGGTCACTGGGAGTCGGAGTTGACTCGATGGCAGTGGAGATTTTATTGGGTTATTGACCAGAAAGAACTCAAAGGAGGTTGAATTTCTGTGGAGACTCAGAAATGGATTTAGGGCTCTCACTGTACACCATAGCCTTCTATAAACCTAGAGTTGAGAATTTAAGCTCTAACACATCTGTTCCACAGCTGACCCCTGGTCTTTTTCTCACTAATGATATTGAACTTTTCCATGATCCTTTTACAGATGCAATCAATTTGATTCCTATGCCATCTGCCTTATGAGGATTGCATGTATTAGAATTGTTTAGGTTGTTTTAAAAAGATATTTATAAAGAATAGGTTGTTAGTCTTGCCAAATTTTATTATGCAATCTCTACTTTCACCAAGGCCGTATTTTTCTGATTCTTCTTCCTTGTTTTCAACTTTTCCCATTCCAGGCACCAGTAATTTTCAACGTATTTTATTGCGTGTTTGGATCCATTTCAGACGGCGAGAGTTGATAAAAAATATTTGATTTCTTCACATTAGGCACAAGTGATTGATTTGTAAATTTGAATAATGGTTATATTAACTGGTTTCCTTTTTATCATTTTATTAGGACATAATCCAGACATCATACCATTCAGTCATTTAGTCATGTCAAGCAGTGTTGTACCACAATCATTTTCAAAACATTTTCTTCCTTCTTGTATTCCTCAGTACCTCCTCCTCCTCTACTGTACCCCCCTGGAACCCTTTAGTCTAGTTATTGCCTTTATAGATTCACCCAACTTGGGTTTCAAATACTGAAAAACATAGAAAGATACATAACAGAGTCAAGAATTCTACAAACAATAACCATATATAATAGAGATAAGCCTCAATTTGAAACAAAGAGAAAATATTAAAAATCAGATCAAGCTCAAAGTGTATCAAAAGGGAGATCAAATGAAAAGATTTTGACCATTCAAATCAGGTTATCATTTAGATCTACTATAATCATCTCTCTGATACTCTGATAAGCCATCTGTCTGATAATCATGGAGTTATTCCCATCCCTCACTTGTGGTCAGAGGGGAATAACCGGAGGTTTATTCCATGTGTAGATCCCGTGAATGTATTTTGGGATTCTGCTGTCATCTGTAGCTGTCTGCAAATCAGAATTTTATAATTGAAGCTCTGATACCCATTCTCTCCTTCGGATTTGGATGACTATCTTTTTAAAAAAAATCATTTTATTGGGGGCTCGTATAACTCTTATCACAATCTACACATACATCCATTGTATGTCAAGCACATTCAGAGATGTTGGTGTGTTTCTTCCATGTGAGCTGAGTTGACGTCTCACTTAGATGGCTGCTTGCTTGAAATCAAGCCTTTGAGACCCCAGAGGCTATTTTTTTTCTGAAAGTTGGGCACCATCTAATTTCTTCAACACACTTTGCAACAGCATCCATCTCTTTTATGTTTCCTTTATAAGGGTGAGTACTGAGCAGGGCCATGCTGCACCCAGGTGGGGGTGCCATAGATTGCCGAGACATTGAATCCTGGATCTTCAGGGTGCAAGCATGCTCCAGAGGCTGCAGCAGTGATATCTGATGTGGAAAACCCACTGGGTGTGAGGCAGACTAGCAAAAGAAACTCCATTTTCGTTAGCTGCTGAGTGATTGCCCCTTCTTCCCTCCCATCTCAGAAAGTTGACTGCTAGTTGACCTGCTCTTTTCCCTCCCTTTATGGGTAAGACTCTGCTGATGACTAACCTTAGAATGTACTCTTATGTTTCCGGGCTCTGGACACTACAATTAGTTTAGACTAGTCTTCAATATATTATTTGTTTTGATTTTTTTCAATGTTGTTCCTTTTGATGTTGTAATCTGAATGATGTAGTTAATGTTGTCATGATAACCAGGGTGTTACAATCAATACTGGTATTGTTTCTTTTGTTATGGTAAAAAGGATGTTATAATCAATTTTGATATTGTTTCTTTATGATAAGGAATGTACCTTGTAATGCATGCTTACTCTTTTTGAAGTTACAATTAATCCATTAATTTTGCTTTCTGCTTCTGTACATGCTTGCTTGAACCCTAGACAGTTGATAAAGAAGTTTTTCGGCCTTAAAGATGGACTGAGAAGTTCACTCAAGGTTGCTATGAGGGGAAACATCTTTAGTTTCTTGGTAGCTCAGCTAGCTGGATAAAGACTCTTCTAAATTTGAAGACATTATAGTGGCTGTCATTTATTTGAACCTATAGCAGGTCAACTGGACTCTACCCTGGACACACTTGTAAAGTGAAGCTTTAAGGCAGACAATTCATGGTGTCTGAGGAAGCGGAAGACAGCTGTACTAAGACTGTTGAACTGTTGGTAGGGGGATAATCATGGTCTGGCTACATCAGTGTCCTATATACTGCATTAAGTTATATATTATTTCGGCAAACCTGTGACTGACATTTTAAGTGAATATTATTGTAAATTTTTCCTGACAATCAACTCCCATTGTTTGTGAAAATAGTGTTAAGACATGAAAGGACTGACTCTGTACAAGTGAATACTTCAGATATATGTATTGCCAGTGTTTTTAGCAATTGCCATATTGCTTTCCACAGTGATTGTACATATTTACAAGTCCACCAGCAGTGTATGAGAGCTCCAATCTCTCCACTTCCTCTCCAGAATTTGTTCTCTATGTTTTTGTTTTGTTTTTACTTGGGCTATAGTTATGGGTATAAGATGGCACTCGTTATTTTGAATTGTAATTCCCGAACGGCTAGTGAAGGAGAGAATTTTGTAGTGTGCTTGTTAGCCTCTCAGGTATTCTACTTTGTGAATTATCTATTCAAGTCCTTTGCCCATGTTTTAAGAGGGCTATTTAATCATTTTTCTTGTTGTAGTATTGCAGACTTCTGTAGATTTTAGTAATTAGTCTTTTGTCTGTTGTGTCATTGCTAAATCCCAGTCCTTGTGCTTTTCCCAATCCCTGTGCTCTCATTTCACTCTTTTAATGAAATCTTTTGGTGTACACAGGTGTTTTATTTTTAATAGGGCCCAGTCATCTATTTTGTCTTCTATCGTGTGTGCTTCCTTTTTTATATCTGGTAGTCTGTGTATGCCCTAGGTCCCTTAGCTTTGTCCCAATTTTCTCATTCATGATCATGATAGCTTTGGGGTTTACATGTAGGTCTCTGATCCACCTTGAGTTCGTTTGGGGGCATGGGGTGAAGTATGGGTCCTGTTTCATTCTTTTGAAGATGGATATCCAGTTTTTCTAGCATCGCTTTTTGAAGAGGGCATCTCCTTCTCATTTAATGATTCTTGTGCCTGTGTTGAAAATCAGTTGCCTATCGGTGGGTGATTTTATTTCTGAATTTTCCATCCTGTTCTGTTTTTCTATGTATCAATCGTTATACCAGAACCAGTTGTCTCAAGGTCAGGTACTGCAAGGCCACCTTCTTTTTCTTTTTTATTGAGAAGTTCTTTGCTTGTCATGGGCCTCTTCCCTCTGCATATGAAGTTGGTAATTAGTTTTCAGTTTCTTTAAAGAATGATGTTGGGATTTGTATCAGGATTACATTGAATTGGTAGATTTTTCTAGGTGGGATTGATATTTTCACAATATTGAGTTTTCCTATCCACAAACATGGGATATTCTTCCATTTTTGTAGGTCTCTTTTGGTTTCTTGTGTTAATGGTCTGTAGTTTTCTTTGTACAGCCTTTTTGTTTCTTTGGTTAGAGTTATTTGTAGGTATTTCAATTTTTGTGAAGCTATTGTGAATGATATTGTTTTCTTGATGTCTTTTTTAAAATCTATCTTCACTAGTATGTAGGAGTTTAATTGCTTTCTGCTTGTTAATTTTGTATCTTGCTACTTTACTAAATTCCTCAATTATTTCCAATAATCTTATTGTGGAGTTCTCTCAATATAAAATCATATCAACTGCAAATAGAGAGAGTTGCACTTTTTCTTCACCCAATTGTGCCCCTTCAATCTCTTGCTTTGTCATGGTTCTGGCTAGGACTTCCAGCACAATGTTGAATAAGAGTGGCGAAATCCTTGTCTGGTACCTGTTTTCACTTGGAATTCTTTCAGCTTTCCTCCATTGAGCGTGATACTGGCTGTTGGTTTTTCAATATATGGCTTCTATTATGTTGAAGAATTTCCCATGTATTTCTATTAGTTGCTTTTATTAGGATGGATTTTGGATATTGTCAAATGCTTTCTCTACATCAATTGATATGATCATGTGGTTCTTATTCTTTATCTTTATGTGGTGGATTATATAAATTGTTTTTCAAATTAACTGGCTTATTATAGACATATCACTGACAGCATTATACTTCAAGACAGATCTTAAATTTTTTTTTTTTTGGCACCGAATGTGAAGCCAGTCTCCTCACTTTGCCATTCCTGGCATAGTTTAACAAAGTGGGTGCAGAACTTTGTCTTTTTGAACTATGTTATGCAAATTGACCTCGGTGACCCCTGAGAGTCTGGTCTTGATACTCCAGGTGATTCGTTCCCTCCAAGTGTTTGATATGTCTAAGAATTTTTGACAACTTTGATCTTTGTAAGCTTGACCACATTCATTAATATATTTGCAACAAAAGTAACTATACATGTACAGATATTATCTGTTAAATCTACATATATCCGTGGGTGTGCTCCCACTTTCCCTTCCACACCTGTTGAGCCTGTGTATCTATGCAAGTATCTACTTGTAAATCCACCACTATTATAGGATTATATGTATAACACGATTTGCTCCTGTTGTTTTTAACTCTTGCAGACCCCCCAATGCCTTGTCCTGCTTTCACCACGTTTTGCTGACCTCCCTCTCAGTGGATGCTGCCTTCTCCTGCACCAAGTCAACACTCAGCTACCCTGCAGCCTCTTCTGCTCTCTCTTCCCCTACCAACTCTGGTAACCATCAAAGAGTGCTTATTTTAATATGAAAACCTTTTCTGGGCTTTTTATAACAGTGGTCTCATACAATATTTGTCCTTTTGTGCTTGACTAATTTCACTCAGCATAATGTCCTCCAGTTCATCCATGTCACTAGGTATGTCATCGTTTCATTATTATCCTTTGACTTTGTATAGTATGTACCAAAGTTTATTTATCCACTCTTCCATTGATGGGGATTTAAGTTGTTTCCATCTTTTGCTATTATAAATAGTGCTGTGATGAATATGGGTGTACCTTTATCTGTCCACTCCATGCCTCTTGTTACTCTAGTATCTATACCAAATAGAAGGACTGTTTCGTCATATGGTATTTCTATTCCTAGTTTTTTTTTATTAAGTGTCATACCTCTTTCCACAGTGATTGTACCACTTTATAGTCTGACCAGCACTATGTGAGGAAGGATTTCAGTCTCTCCATATCCACACTAGCATTTGTTACCTGTTTTGGGTGATATCTCATTGTTCTTTTGATTTGCATCTCTTGTCTAATGGTCATGTGCATTTCTCCATATTTTTAAGATGCCCGAATGTCTTCTTTGGTGAAGTGTGTGTTAATGCTCAACCCGTTTCTACATTGGGCTGTCTTTTTCTTGTTGAGGTATATAAGTGTTTTAGAAATTTTACAGATTAGTCTCTTGTCTGATATGCCATTGCCAAAGATTTTTTTTCTGGTCTGTGGGTGGTATAGTGTTTGGGCTGCTAACCTCAAGGTCAGCAGTTTGAAACCACCAAGTGTTCTTTGGGAGAAGAATGAGGCTCTTTACTTCCGTAAAGAGTTAAAGTCTCAAAAACCTGCAAGCGCAGTTCAGCTGTGTTCTTTGGGGTTGCTATGAGTGGAATAGACTCAATGGCAGTTAGTTTGTGTGTGTGTGTGTTTGTTGTTATTTATAAAAGCTAGGATTTATAACACATGTTTTTGAGGAACCCAATTTAATTCTATATTCTAGAATAATTATTCCAAGAATTACCTAGAAGTGTACCTATTTTCCTCCTGAACACACTCTCCTTTATACTGATGAGGCTTCAGAAAGTAGAAAAAATTCATTATCCTCTCATTGCATTTTTCGTGAACTGTTTGAAGCCCTTTCATCTTTATCTCATTCATTCAGCCCAACAACCTGTTATCCATCGGATTCTCCTACCCAGACTTTTCCTTCTTTAATTCAGATTCTATGTATTTTCTCTCTAATGGTCTAAGGTAGACCATCTCCTTAGGATTTTTCACTTTATCTTCCTGTTTATTTTTTCCATCAAAGAGTCTTCTATAGAAGTGGATCACTGGGTCTCTTGGATTGCCCACTCCTGTGCCCTGAATTAATTAGCCCTGGATTAGTCACTAAGCTTCTTACCCACTGACAGTCTTAACGACTATCTATTATACACGGTGATGCAGTGCATTTGCTTGCTTGTTTTTGAAAGTCCTCTTCATAAAAAAGGACTCTTTTAATGATGCTATCAGATACGCCTTGGACTACTGACCCACCAGCCATTCTGCAAGAAAGATGGGGTTATAAAGATTTGGGGTTATAAAGATTTACACCTTGGAAATCCTATATAGTGTCTTGGAACTGACTGGTTGCAAGTGAGTTTCATTTAACTGGGTTTTCCTACCTAGAAAGCCAATCTAAAAAGATAACCATCTAGAATTAGAAATTCACATCTTGAAATTTCTAGCATCTCCAGCTTCTCCTTGCTGCCTTCACTCGTTATGCTGTGCATTGGCATTAGACATTTTGAATTCACAGATATAACCTATGTACTTTCCCAAGCCTCTTTCTGATGCTAACATTTTACTGCTATGTAAAGATAAAAAATCTCCATAAAAATAGTAATTGAGAGACGTCAGACAGTGTAAGATATGACAAAATAATAATTTATAAATTATCAAGGGTTCATGAGGAAGGGGAGATCAGGAAGGGACGGGGGAAAATGAGGAGCTGATGCCAGGGGCTTAAGTGGAAAGCAAATGTTTTGAGAATGATGAGGACAATGAATGTACAAATGTGCTTTACACAATTGATGTATGTATGGATTTTGATAAGAGTTATATGAACCCCTAATAAAATGATTTTTAAAAAATAGTAATTGATACCTGGGATGTAAGTTGTCTTGCCCTTGGACAGAGTGAATTGGAAAGTGGATTACTTACACACACCACACACACCACCACCACCACCAGGCAATCTTCCATAGGAACTACCTGGTTGCGTCCTTCATGGAGATCACCATAGTCATGAGTCATGTCCTGTCTGTCTCGGGGCCCCTGGACCCATATTATAAGTGCCTCGGTCTAAAAAAATGTGCCATGTCCCCACCATGGCCTTGATCCAACTTTGAGAATCCCACTGATACTTAGAATGCATTGATCTACACCAACCATGTTTTGTGACAATTAAAAAAATCCGCTTTGTTCCTTTTAAAGCCCTATACTCAGGCTAACGGTCTCCTTCATCTAGGTCATATGTCTATAGTTCTCTTGCCCTGTCCTGTGCAAGACATAAGTAATATCCCCTTTAGAGTAAAAAAAATGGGGGGAGGGAGCTGATATCACAGAGTTCAATAAGGAAGAGAATGTTCTTGAAACTGATTGTGGGAGCAATTGTACAATATTACTTGATGTAATTGAACTATGGAATAATATGATATCTGTATTATCTCCCAATAAAATGGTTTTGGGAAAAAATAAGGTTAAATTTAAAAAAGCAATTGCTTCTTAACTTCTCACCAATAGCATATGAAAGGGCTGATAGGAATGCTCTACTTTTGGATAGCCGGAAAAACCTGTACTTTATTTGCCATCAGTATTATTTCTGTTTGCATTTTTTCAGGTAATTCTTTCCTCCTCTACCCCTTCCTCCTCCACCTCTGTTTGCCCTGGTACTGAGAAAAGTATTACTTGGTATGTCTCTGTAATGACTCCGGCCTCTCAATTCTGTCTACAAACTTGACAGGACAATCGTTTACCTTTCCTTGGTGTATGTGCTTGGCCATGTGATCAAGTCTTTGGGTGCCATACCAATGCTGGGGGAACAGAGCCTGCACAGGTGAGTACAATCATGGAATCAATGGGTCCCTCTGCTTCCATTACACAGCTAAACCAAGCATTCACAACAGATGATCTTTTATTTTCTTACTAAGCATTTTCTTTATCGTTCACCCTTCTGTTTTATTACCAAATTGCTTAACAAAACCACAAATGTGTGACCGGTTGAAATCTTCCCTACTTTATCTGAGCTCCTTTGTTTTTGTTAAGCATTTGGGTTGTAGAATGCCTAGTTAGTGTGTTCTTAATAAAAATCCTAGTGTGCTTGATGATTAATATCTCATTACCCTCCATATTCTTTCAGCTAGTCACTCCTTTAAAAAAGCCAGTAATAGTTTTTCTTCAATACATTGTAGAAATAATATTTAAATTTTGGCATATATCCATTAACATAGGGTTATATTTATTATAGGTTTTTTCCTCTTATATTATTGATGTCTGAGTCCAGGAGCTTTTAATAGATTTGATGTCTGCTGATAATCCACAGAGAGGATTATAGCTGTTCAGGAAGTAGATTATATGTATCTGTGTTTATCATGTCATATATATTCATGTATAATGGACTTATACATGTGCTCTGGTCATGCAGTGGTTAAGCCCTTGGCCGTTAATCAAAAGATTGGCAATTAAACCCTACCTGCCATTCTGAGGAAGAAAGAGGGGGCAGTCTGCTTCTGTTAAGATAAAAACAAAACTGAACTCACTGCCTTCAAGTCAGTTCTGCCTCATACCAGCGCTACAGGATAGAGTATACCTGGAATTTGGGTTTCTAAGGTAGTAAATCTTTTGGGGAGCAGAAAACTTCATCTTTCTCCCACAGAGCAGCTGTTTGATTAGAACTGCTGACCTTGTGGTTAGCAGTCCAATTCATAATCTACTATGCCGCCATAATCTACTATGCTTCCATAAAGTACATCTTTGGAAATTCTGTTGGGCAGTTCCACTCAGTCCTGTAGGGTCACTGTGAGTCAAAATTGCCTTGATGGCAATAGGTTTTACACCTCTTTATCTTGTGAGTTAATAATTATGTTGGAAATTTAATAAAAATTACATGCCTCTTATTGGTGTCCCATGAAAAATTAGTGGCACTTTCTCTATCAAGTAAGATGAATTTTAACATTTCATTTTGTGCTTAGTATGGGAGGTGTGGGATAGAATGAGCTATTGTGAACTCTTTCTATTGAAGTGCCCCTTGGATTAAACAAGATTGGGAACAAGTCCTTGCTGGTGTCCCTTCCCTATCTGCTTGTATTTCCCACAAAAACTAAATGGAGTCCCCGGGATCAACTCGTCCTGTGTAAGCCTTATTTTCTGGAAGGGTCACAGACTCATAAGCTATTTTAAGTGCTCCTGAGCGCCTTCTAGGAATGAAGGCCAATGTACAGTGCCCTCAGGGTAGAAAGCGCGAGGGACCTTTGTCCCTGTTTGCCTCTCAGCTCTATATTATATTTCTGCATGTGTTTAGACCATCCTGCTTAGCATATTCCCCTTTCCTTTCAGAGTCCTAGCGGTGATTGGTCTGAGTCTAATAGCTTTGGGGACAGGTGGTATCAAGCCCTGCGTAGCCGCTTTTGGTGGAGATCAGTTTGAAGAAAAACATGTAAGAATCCTCTGACTTCTATATTATCAAGGGTGTTTAGGTTGAAGTTATCCACTGATCTAGAGGAAATGGGGATATTTTGGCTGGATAAGACCAGAACAGAGGGAAATGTCATAGCTGTCTATACCTGAGACAGATCAGTGGAATTTATAGGAAACTGTTGTGGGTTCCGGTAAAAGAAGACCACCACAATGTCCAGTTAGAATGATGTGACATCTTTGTTGTTTATCAGGCTAGCCCTGACTGCAGGGGGATGTTCAAAGGACCTATCCTCCACCCTGCAGAGCCCGTCTTCCCTGGCCGAGCCTCTGTTATAGTATTCAGGGAGGGCAAAATACAGAATGCAGAATAAAAAGCAAGTTAAAATTCATATATCACTAAGTAAGTGGCATTGACAGAAGTAAAACAAAAGCATATTTAGGTAAAGTTTGGGGCCTGGGGGCCACGTGGAATGAACCCTCCTGTCCCTGGGAGAAAGAAAGGCTTTTCTTGCTAAGGAGAGAGGCCTAGTTTAAACAAGAATCACCCTAATGGCACTTACAGACCCGCATTTCATTGTGATGTTAAACAGATGACCCCAGGCCAAGCAGAGGGGGCTGGGAGGATGCCCTCAAAGAAAAGTGTTCTCCTGACAGTTCTGTTTAAATGTGGTGACAGGAGTTTGTCTACTGCAAAACCAGCTCTTTGACTGAAGGGGAAAAACTTACAAAGGGCCAAGTTGGAAGCAGTGAATTTACTCTCTCATGCTCAAGAATATGCTATTTTTTATGCTTAAGAATAAAGGCTATTGAACACTTTGGAAGCAGGAAGTGGTAGGTAGTGTAGTGCTGATTTAAGCATTTGTAGGTTTGATGTATGAAAGGGGGAAAGATACATCAAAGTGAAACAGAATGTGTACAACTCTTCTTAATATGATTGACTGATTAAATTATATGATATGTGAAGTACATGCCAATAAAACTGTTTTAAAAAAATTAAACAGAACGGACTTCTATAGATGAGCACATTGGACTGATCCTTCCTTCTTTTCCTTTATACTTTTCACTGTTAGTGGAAAATAAACAAAAACAGCCCCCACCCCCCAAAAAAGAGTAAGCTGAAGATGGTCCATTATGAGGAACTAATAAATAGATGATAAGGGGAACAATCTATCCTAGACAAACCCTAAGTTCTGTTTTCCTCTCTTTTACGCTCATTCTCCCTCCTTGTCTATCTATTCTCTCTTCTGTAGCCATTTATTATGTTTCTGACTTCTCTATCTATTTCTAGTTATATCGAGATAGGTATAATTTCTTCTCTCTCTTTCTCTAACTCTGTGTTCTCACTCCCTGTTCTGTCTCACTGTGGTTCTCTCTGACCATTTAGTTATCATTATATTCTTCATCTGTTAAAGAGCCTAGGAGTGAAGGCCAATATAAAGTGCCTTCAGGGTAGAAATATGAGAGAGACCATTGCCCTGGAATGTACTGATTGTTTGCCATCTTTGGAGAGCTAGCCAACCTTTGGTAAAAGAGATTCTATGCATAAAGAGCTATACAATTTAGAAGAATGAAATAAGGCTTAAATAGGGATCAGAAGAGAAAGGAAAACACACTTAAAAAGAAAAGAGAGAAGGCCCCGTTGTGCTACCGTACCAGAATGAAGCAGAGAAGAACATAATGAGATGTCAGCCACATTTGATGGAAGCTGCTTCGTTTCATAACAGGTCTACAGAGATATCACCAACAAACAGAAACAAGATATAATTTCCTCACTAAAAGAAATCATAACCTACTGAAAGAAGCATTTAATGTGAAGAAATTAGTATTATAATACATTTCTGTGGGGCATACTAATGGCATCAAGGACACAATGATTAATTCTGTCCAGGTAAAGGTATAAAAGAAAGGTAAAAAAGAAGCTTCCAGTGGGATTTTAAAGTGAGTAAAACTTGTGTACACCTCCAGCTGAGCCTGATAATGGGATGGAGGTGGAGTTAAGAGACACATTGACAGTACTGATTTTATCTTTTTATCCCCCCAGGCAAATGAACGGACTAGATACTTCTCAGTCTTCTATCTCTCCATCAATGCTGGAAGCTTGATTTCTACATTTGTCACCCCCATGTTGAGAGGTTAGGATCTGCTGTGTTCTGGCCAGAAAAAGCTGTACAAGAGTTTCTCTGGTTTTCTTTTAGTCTTGATTTTCATAGTCCCAGAAAAGTATTATGGGATTAGGTGATGAGAGGAAGGAGGATGGCTATGCCTATAACCTCAAGAACTGAGCTTGTAGAATGGGGTACCAAAGACTCGAGATTTGGAGTTAAACTTTCTTCCTTTCTTTTGTCATTTTCTTTTAGGAGATGTCCAGTGTTTTGGGGACGACTGTTATGCCTTAGCTTTTGGGATCCCAGGATTGCTTATGGTGATCGCTCTTGGTGAGTGTAATGAGGAAGAGGAAGCTAATTATCCACTCAGACCTACCAAGAAGAAGACTTTGTGTTGACACTTCACACAAACTGTTTTATTCAGTACCCATAATGTGGGTGAGAGGTCTTCCCTGTCCCTTAGAGAAAAGGTAATTCAGTGAAACAAGGAACCCTAAAAAATGTAAAAGTCCATCAAAGCCTAAGAAGCTATAAAAATGACAGAACTTTGAGCCAATTAAGTTCGGACCTATTAACTCAGGATCTCTGCTGGGCAGGACTTGAACATCTATAAAGCTCAGAGAATTCAATTTGAATCTCTGGTGATTCAAGGTTGACACTCACTGTTCTACATCACACGCTGTAAGGACACCTAGAAGATCATACTTATTCATCTGGTAACTGAAAGGCTCTTAAAATTCCTTAGGTCTTTTTAACAGGCTTTGGATTGAACTGTCTGTCCTGGTCTGTACAGCTCAAAGACTTGGGATAGGTCAGCGGACACTGATGGAATTAGATCGAACTGTAGTCTTTTTAGCACTGAGAGTTCCGCCTTGGGAGAGATGAGGAATCGCTGTGTTGATTAGTTTACTCAATCTAGGCCAAGGGAAACTTGATCAGGCTGTTTCTAAGCATTGAGCTGGAAACCTGTTCTCACGCTGTTCTCCTGGAAACTATCCAGCTTAAACACATGAAAAGCTCAAGAGAAGAAAAGTAACCCAGAGACTCAACGTTCAGCCTGATTAGTTTCTAAAAGGGGGACTAACAGAAATACCCAGTGTTTCTATTTCCAGGAAAGTCTGTGTTATTCTGGAAGTGCTGTGCTAATATATTTCCTGCTTTCTTTTCGAAGTCAAACATTTCTGCCAATTAGTACTAGGTCTAGGAGCCCTGGTGACGCTGTCAGAGAAGCGCCAAACTGCTAACTGCAAGGTTCAAACCTACCAGCAGCTCTGCAAGAGAAATCTGATGCTTCTACTCCCATCCAGATGGACAGCCCTGGAAACCCTATCCAGGGTCACTAGGATATGAGTTTACTATGATGTCTCCTTTTTTTGATCACTGTACAATAACATTTGAAGTTCAGAGTAATTGTCAGAATTTTAAAATGCTACAAGTGAAAACGAAAATGTTTTACAAATCACTAAAGAAGTGTTAACTGTTGTTATTACTTCAGCTTCCTGCAAGCATAAAAACTCAATTCTCTGGCCTTTCCCTCTATTTTTCTTCATTCATTCATTTAGTTGCTTAGTCAAAACTATTTGTTATTTTATTATGCTCCAAGTTCTGTGCTAAGTAATGGAGTCATAGTGGTAAATTAGCTACTAAACCCATGCCCTCAACGAACTTATACCAGTCTATTGGGGAAAGAGAGACAGACAAGTGCCAGGAATTTGAAGTCTAGTATGGTCAATGTCACAACTGAGGAAGCAAAGAGAGAGCTATGGGAACACATGGGAAAGAGCCTTAGACTTTTAACGTCAACAGGGATTGACTAAAGTCATCACATCTAAGGGGTCAACTGCAATTAGTCAGACAAAGGGATTGAAGTGTTGCAGAAACAGGACAGAGTATGTGTAAGAAAAGGAGATGAGAGATCGTGAGAAATGGGTCAGGGGTCATGTCGGACCTGGCCAAGGATGATTCCAAGGAGGCAGAGGTCAGACATCCCCACCCTGCTTCCTTCTTTATCCTCATCTAGCCCCAGCTGTCCCACGGCACTGTCCTTCCCTGCAGTGGTCACACCGAACTCACAGGATGCACTCACAATTGTGAGGGTTTATTAGGGAAGTTAAGAGGTAACCACAAGTCAGAGTCAGAAAAGGTTAAAGATACATTCCTTTTGTCCACAGTGTCTCTTCTTAGCCATACCAACAGGCACCAGCCGCAGCCTCTCATCCACTTGGTCCCTTGGCCTCTGCCCTGCTCTGGCAAGTGGGCCACCCCATTCTGCAAGCTAGCTTCCTGCCTCAAGACATTGAACTTTACTTTTTCCTGTGGGCTAGGAAGCCAGTTACTCTGTTTCATGATCTCAGAACAGCAACTCTGCTCTGACTCACGGTCTCAGTGAGGCTCTTCTATTCTGTCTTGGTGATGCAGCTTCTCGTGTCTCTGCCACTTCAGACAGGGATCTTGCATGTGTTCCACCGGTGAGTCTATACCCCTTTGCATGTTTACACTCCGTGCCTGGGTGGGAGTTACAAAGACTATGGAAAGAAGAACCACACCAAGCATTTTTACTTCACTGCATATAGTGTCACGTGTTTGAAGACCTTACAGGAAATAAGATCGTTGGCATAGTGGGTTAAGCTGCTCACGAGGTCAGTGGTTCAAACCCACCAGCTGCTCTATGGGTGAAAGATGATTATGTCTGTTGCTGCAAAGATCTGTAGTCTCAGAAACCCAGAGGGGCACTTCTACTCTGTCCTGTACGGCTACATGGTCACTATGCGTCAGAAATATCTTCATGGCAGTGAGTTTTGTTCTGTTTTGTTTTAGAAAATAAAATGAGAAAGATAAGAAGGAAAAATGGGCAGAAACCAAATAATGAAAGCCATCTTAAGCAACAGAAGGAGCAGAACTTTATCCAGAGGACAATGGAGAGCTATAAGAATTTTAACAGAAGAAAGATTGTTGAAGGCATGGATTTCAATGGTGTCTATGACTGTAACGTGGAAAAGGGATTAGGATAAGGGTGAGACAAGGGTAATATTTATCTTGATTATGAAAAATTTGCCACCCCCTTAAGGGTCTACTGAAATCACCCCATGAGACCTCTTTGGAGAAATAGAACCAGTGATAAAGAAAGGGCTTAACATTTTTTGGAATAATGGAATCAAAGACAATGGGGCTGGGGAAGGGGAGCATTGATTGATTTACTTCAAGGAATTGACTCATGGAACAATGGGTGAGGTTAGCAAATTCAAAATCGATAAGTCAGGTAACCAGCTAGAGCCTCCTATGCTTGTGTCTGAAGAGTTTCGGGCTAAGCAGTAGGAAGAGTGAAGAATGGAGTAAAGTTCTGCCAAAAGATCTATTGCTAATCTGGTAGGAGAACACACCCCAGGTAACAAATATGTCAAGAGCCATGGGTCCTCAAACTGCAGCCCGCAGGCCACTGGAGGCCCTCCGAGGACATTTATCTGGCCTGCCGGGTGTTTTTGCCCTGTTTGTTTTTTACTTCAAAATAAGATATGTGCAGTGTGCATTGGAATGTGTTCATAGTTTTTTTTTTTAAACTTATAGTCCAGCCCTCCAACGGTCCGAGGGACAGTGAACTAGCCCCCTGTTTGAAAAGTTTGAGGACCCTTGAGTCAAGACCCTCAACTCACTGAGTGATTGTAGTACATTAGATTATATCACAAACAATGATTACATGATAAATATAAAGCTATTGTATTACATTATACATTATGATAGGTAATTCTATCTATCCAAGGCCAATTGATTTAATCACATGTAACTACACTGTGCAGCACATGTAGCCGACCCATAACAGACTAGTGTCTGGCCAATCAGGAACCATAGCTGAGCCAACTTGACACACAAAACCATCATACCCTTTAATGGGATAATTAATAAAACCATGTGATTGAATATGTGAAATGAGGAAGAAGAAAGTCAAGGTTGAATCTAGGGTTTGGGTTTGAACAAATGGGTAGACAGGGCATTGACAGATAGTGAACATTTCAAGAAGGATAATAGGCTTGAGAAATTTTCATTTGGGTCACGTTGCATTTTAGATGTCATTAGTACATTTAATTGGATTGATGAAATGGCTATTTGGAAAAATGGCTTAAAACTCAGAATAAATGTTTGAGCGGTAGCTGTAGATCTGGGGCTACTGGTATATAGGTAGTAATTAAGCTGTGAAAATAGATAACTAAGAGACATTAAGGTGAAAAAGAAAGCCTAGGGTAGAATTCTAAAGAAGCCAGCATTTAAAAGATAAGCGAAGAGGAAAAGCAATGAAACTAAGAAAAAAAAATGGCCAAAGTGGATTAGTGGTATTTGGATGCTAAGATTTCAAGAAGTGAATGGTCCAGCATGACAAATGTTTTTGATGGGCCATTTATATTAGTATGAAAACTGTCCTTTAAATAGAGCAACAGGGAAGTCATTGGTGTGATACTATCAGTTAGTTATATAGGTTGGTGGAGGCTAATCCCGTTGGGAAGCAATTAAGAGGTAAGAGTGTGAGCTGGTGGGTGGCATGGAATCAAAGAAAGAGTATGGGGCACATTTGAATATTATTGGAAGAATCTGGTAGAGAAATTGAAGTTACAAGATAAACACGGTATGTCAATATGAAAACATACATAGAAGAATTAATGGAAGGGTAGATAGAGAAATTTGTAGATTTAGTGGCAGGAAGATGTGAGAGTTTTCTTGGGAAGATGCCTGTTTTCTTTATGAAGTTGAAGACAGCATTATCTAGTTGAAGGAAATATTTCATCTTTCTTAGTTCTCCTCAAACACTCATTGCCATCAAGTTAATGCTGACTCACAGTGAGCCTATAGGACAGGGTAGAATTGCCCCTGTGAGTTTCCAAGGCTGTAACTATACAGGCATAGAAAACACCACCTTTCTGCCAGAGAGCGGCTGGTGGTTTCGAACAGCCAACTTGGCAGGATCGCAGCCAAATGCATAACTACTAGGCTTCCAGGGCTCATCTTCCTTAGTTAGGTGGGTTTAAATTTGAAGTGTGACTTTGCAGAGTTGTTTACGGAAACTTCCTTTTATCCTACCTGCCACTCTTGTGACCAGTATTCCTGAAGTTGGATAGCTTCTTTCTAGGATTGTTATACACAGGAGCAATCTCTCTTTAATGTGCCTCTCTGTTTTCCCACTTGACTTCAAAGATTAGTACCCTTCACTTGACCTATCATTTTTATCAACAGTAAGAATGGCATTGTATTAAAAGGTGATATTTGGAGATGCTTTGGGGGAAGCAAACTGAGAAGATGAATGGGGGGGGGGATGTGGTAGAGTGGGAAGAATAGAGAATTTATAAAGTTAAAGAAAAGGAAAAGTCAGGAAATTCAAGACATTCTGTTATGTATGGAGATTGGGAAAAGTTTTGGGCTGTTGAAGGAGTCTTGGCTGGAGTCCCCAACTCCATGGAAGAAAAGACCTGCTAAGGATTCCATAAAGACGCCAAACGAACAAACTCACTCCCATTGTGCGCATTTTGACTTACAGCAACCCTATAGGACAGACCGAGTAGAATTGCCTTTGTGGGTTTCTAAGACTAATTGTTTACAGAAGTAGAAAGCTTCATCTTTTTCCCCAGGTGTGGCTGGTGGTTTCAAACTGCTGACCTTGTGGTTAGCAGCCCAATGTGTTACTCCTCACACCACCAGGACTCCTTTTCAGAAAGATTACAGCCTAAGAAATCCTATAAGGCAGCTAGCTCTATTGTGTCCAGGAAGGGTGCTTTGAGCCTGAACTAACTTGACAAAGAGATTTGTTTTGTTTTATTGGTTACTGAGAGTTATGTTTGTTAGAATATCTACTGGAAGAATCTCTTACTGGAAAGGGAAGTTCCTTAAGGAGAAAGTATATCTAGGATAGTACTAATATGGTCTCCCCATTGATTTTAATTGAATTTATAAACTTGAAAAAATAACACTTCCATAATTATATATACCAGCTCATTATTGGTAATTGGGAAAAGGAAAACTAAGAACATGATATTGATCTTTAATTTGTTACTGTGGGGTGCCACCAGACATCCTAGATGACTGAGTAGAACTGCCCCATCGTGTTTCCTAAACTGAAATCTGTATGAGAGCAGACTGGCAGTTTCTTTTCTCCCATGAAGAGGCTTGTGGCTTTGAACCATGAACCTTTTGGTTAGCAATTTAGTGCCTTAACCATTGGCACAGTAGCGCTCCTTAAGAGAAACAGAATGAACCAAGAAATAAAAATGGTACAGAATTGGTATCGTTTGTTTGTTTCTAGGAATAATAAATAGTGGTTAGAGAATAGAAGACCTGTTGAAGACTGAAACATGAGCTGGACATTTGTAGGCTAAGAAACACTCCTTTAAGGAGCACAGTCATCCTTGTTAACTTTCACTCCCAGTCTGGTCTGGCACATTGTCTGATGGAAGAATAAGTGAATGGGATGAGTGGTAAGGGAAGAGATATTTTTAGTCCAACAGGCCTCAGGTCCAAAAGCCAGGTTCTGGTAATTTCTAGTTCTGTCATCTTGTACAAATTACATAAATGTTTTAATTTTCAATTTATTCATGTGTCAAATGGAATGAACACCTGTTAGTATCACATTGATTCTGACTCATGGTGACCCGATCAATGTATGTCAGCATTAGAACTGTGCTTCAAAGGCATTTTTAGTGGTTGGTTTCCCCCCCCTACAGTAGTAGACAACTAGCACACTCTTCCTACGTGCCTCTGGGTGGACTAGTGCATATTTTGTCCAGTTAACTCCTGCAATGTCTCTGTGTTAGCCTGGGTTGTCTAGAGAAACAAAACCAGTGATACTCATCTATATATCAGAAACAACCTTATATCAAGAAGGCATCCCAGCCCAGTCCAAATCAAGTTCATGGGTCCAATGCTAGCCAGAACCCTCCTTTTTAGACTCATGTAGCTGCAGGTCAATGATGCAGAATGGTGCCGCAGGAGGCGGGAAGATCATAGGCCAGTAAATGCAGAGTCTTGTGGACACAAGGTTGGTAGGAACAAAGCAGGCCGCCAACCATTCCCAGGTTGGTTCCCAGGGTCAGTGGTCCATATGAGACGTCTCATGGAGATAGATGCAGAATCCCAGCAAGCTGGGGGAGTGAAGGGTCAAAGGAAACGATTCTCATTGTCTCTCTTAAAAAAGGCCACACCCCCAAGAAAGTATCACCAGACTACTACCTGACTGACAGGTTGGACTCCACCTCCACCTTCACACAGGTAATATCAAGTTGGCATAAAATTCAGCCACCACAGTCTATAAATGCTTAATATGTATTCATATGTAAAGTAAACCTTTAACAGATTATGGTGAAAATAATAACCATCAACATCTTAATAAACTTATGCTAGGATTTATTAAATCCAGGAAGAAGTGTTTAATTTGGCATCAGATTAGAAAAGGGAGAGACCAGGAATTGAGAAAGTTGTAGGGGATCATTCTAATAGTCTAGGCTGGCTGTTGCGAGGTCCTGAGCAATAAAGGTAGTGGTGGTAATGCCAGAGTGAGGGCAAGTAGGAAACATACTAAAGGGAGAATGAATGAAAGTCAGTTGCATACCCATTATGGAGATGGAAAAAGAGAATAGAGAGTCAAAGATGACTTCCATTTTTTTTGTGATTCAGTGAAAGCATCTCCCTTAACAATTGACTTGTTCTTGTGGATACCATCATTTTTATAATTCCAAATCAGGAGGTGTAAGTCAATATCCTCTTCATGATCTCTGCTCTTCACTCTCACATATCAAGAATCTGTTATAAATATTGACACACTGAATATGCTAGATGAAATTGAACAACTTTGTTTGTGTTTCAACTGCAGTTGTATTTATAATGGGAAGCAAGATGTACATCAAACCACCTCCTAAAGGAAACATTCTGGCTCAAGTTATCAAATGTGTCTGGGTAAGGCCATCAATTGTTAACTTTTTGAGTAAAGAAAGATATACTTGGATGAGCATATGGACCTTCAAACACGTGTATACATTTTTCTCAGTGACCTCTGTTCTACTCCAGTGACATTTATCAATCTGAGATTAATTGATCTCCCTTTGTTCTTATTTACTCAGTCATGAAATGAAAACATGGTGCTTTTAATGTACTTTTTAGCACACTTATGGCTGGTATCAACAGAAAATAGGATGGGTAAAATGATATCTGAAATATTCTGAAATTCAATGACTCACGAGTAAGCCACCCAAAGAGTGCTTGAAAGAAGGTATAATAAGCTGGCCAAGACAGAGGCTCGTGTCCTTTTGTCTTTCCTCTAATGTCTGTATTCTTCCCCAGTTTGCTATTTCCAACCGTTTCAAGAGCCGTTCTAGAGCCATCCCAAGGAGACAGCACTGGCTGGACTGGGCGGCTGAGAAGTACCCAGTAAGTTGGAACTGTAGGAACATCTTACGGCTCCGTGGAGTCTGTCCTTCTCCGGTATACGTCTACGTCTGCTGAGGGCCAGCAAGCCATGTGTGGCATTTTTAGCAAATTGCACTGCTCCTTTTCTTGCAGAAGCAGCTCATTATGGATGTGAAGGCACTGACCAGGGTGCTGTTCCTTTACATCCCACTGCCCATGTTCTGGGCTCTTTTGGATCAGCAGGTAAGAACAATTCTCTTGAAAGCTAGTCTTTCTCTCAGCCTTGAGTCTCACAGGAAAGCAATTTCTTATAATAACATCTGGTTGCCCTAGGGCTCACGGTGGACCTTGCAAGCCACCAAGATGGATGGGAATTTGGTGAGTAGAAAAAAATTTCCAGCGAAGTCTATTTTCCTTATCATTCACATTAAGAAAAGTCATTTCTTTGTGTTTTTGCCTGAAAACTGACCTAAGATCACAAAAGAGGCATTCTTAACCTGAAGGCACTGAGTAAATGGAGAAAGAAGCTAGGCTAGAAATGAAAACCAGAGTTTTGTCTTTAGACAAAGAACAGGAACATAAAGATGGGAGATATTTAAGTATATCCAAGGAATCATCAAGAGTATAAAAAGGAAGTTATACAGACCTAGGACAGTGTTTTGTTTTTTTCTGATCTAAGCTCGGATCTGGCAAGTTTGATTGGTTTTGCTACACAATTAGTCCTATTGTTTAGGCCCGCGTCACTGCAGAGGACCAGGAAGTGAGAAAGTTTGTACACAGATATGGAAAGGATGGGACGATTGTAAATATTATTTTCTCTTTATCCCATCTCCATTCTCTGGTCCACTCAAATAAGGTACCGTCACTCCTCTTAATTGTTTCACTACATGGACTATTGTATCACTTCTTTCTTTTTTTTCTGTTATGAAAGGGCAGAGTGAGGTGATGCAAAAGTTGTATCGCCCAGTTTTGCAAATATTATTTTACTTTCTTTATTGCTCTGGCTGTTTAGGATTTACCAGGATGGTCCTTCTTTTAGCCCATGGATGACATTTTTGAAAGCATTGTTCGGTGGTGAGAGCTTTCACCCTAACCATGATGCCTTCTGTGTACTCTGCCCTCAATACCATCTCCAACTCCAGTTACTGAGATACATAAAACACATGGGCTGTGTTCCCTCTCAAGCTAAGGAAAGCATAGTGTATAGAAAAAAATACTCTCTCTAGGTCCATTTGCTATTAGCAGACAGCCAGAAGCCATATCCAATCTGTTGCCACCCTCTCCCCTGCCCCCAGTACCCTGACAGGCAGGGGAGTGCTCCTGAACCTGATGGATTTTACTCTGAGTGAGTCTCACCTAGCAGTTTGCAATATTGTTAATGTAGTCTTTTCTCATCTTCTGCCACACTCTAAATGTTATATATTATAATATTTCAGGGGTTTTTTGTGCTTCAGCCTGACCAGATGCAAGTAAGTCTCTTCTCTATAGCTATACAGACCTATTTCTGTCCTTATCTATACCCCTTCCTATAGTTATTAAGACTAACAATACTATTTTGATGCTGTTTTCTTTATATGCTGAGGAGTGTCCACCATTAAAAAAAAACCCGTTCTCTTTGAAGCCCGTAACTTCTCCTTCATGTCCCCTGTTAAATAATTAGTTCCTACCCAATTCCAGGGAAGACACAGGTAAAGTGTAAGCACGGGAGCTTTCCATTCCTAAGTAGTTTAATGAAACTGTCGCCAATGAAAGCTTAAGGTTGTGTTGCCTGAGCGATAAAATCAGAATCTCTGCTGATTGATGACTCTGTGTTATTCTTAATCCTGTGTCCATCCATCCCAGATTCTCCTAGCTTTCTTTCCTTTCTTCTGTGATGTCTTCCCCTTGAACCATGGATCTGGGAAAGAGACTGAAAATAGGGTGGAAGAGGTACCAATATGATTGTCAGAAGAGCTTTGACTCAGCACAAGACTGGTGCTATTAGGAAGCAAAGATGTTACATCAAGGATGTAGGGTCTTGGGTGTGAAGGACCTGGGGAATGGGAATCATTCTGAACCTAGTTTGCTGAAAGTAGGTGTGACGTGAGAGAGTAAGTCCAGCAAGTGGGAGAAGAACTGTTCTAACTAGTCCTCCTTATCATGGTGTTACAGGTACTAAATCCTCTTTTGGTTCTTGTCTTCATCCCCGTATTTGACTTTGGCATTTATCGTCTGGTCTCCAAGTGTGGAATTCACTTCTCGTAAGTGTTCACTGTACAACTATTATTGCACATTTTCCCCGTTTGACAAAGATTCAATGTTAGTACTTTTTTACTTAGTGATGATTGATTTTATTTTCCCTGTTTGACAAAGACTCAATGTTAGTACTTTGTTACTTAGTAACAATTGATTTTATTTTAGCATTTATCTGCTTCTTTTTGTCCACGTTAGACTAAGTACCTACTAATACTGGAGGAGAGGGGCTAGATCTAAGTAATTTTTTTGTTACAGAGTCCAAGCCATTACCACACACCAAAGTGTGTGATTTTGAGGGAAGAGGTGTAGGCATCACTGGGGCCTTGTAGAAGTGGGGGATAGAATGAGTCATCCTTATTGCTTTTCCTTCATTCTAAACCCAAGTGTTATCCCTTGTAAAATTTGACAGAGGGGAGTTTCAAGTCTCCTTTCATCATTGACTTGGCAACAATTTCCTTGACCACTTTATTTAAATGTTTTTTAAATTTGATAGAGTTAGCACCAAGTGTGATGTAAGTGTAAGTCAGGCACACATCTCGCCCTTGAGGAGAGTAGTGTTTAGTAAGGGGGTAGCGCATAGGCTGGTGTCAGTATTTTACAAGTAAACTATCTAAGTCCTTAAAACAAGAAGCTCAGAGTGCCAGGGGCATTAAAAGAAGGACGAGGCCTTCCTGCGGCAGAACTGGGAAAGACTTTTGTACAATACAAAATGAAGTAATGCATGGATAGCTTCTAATACATCAGGAATATGTATATGCAATAGATTTTTAACCTGTATTACCATTATTTTTCTTGTTCTGATGGCATAATGGGTAGAAAGAACGCAATAAGCGAAGGTAGAGTCTGTGCATTTGTCCTTACAAATGTACAAAAGAAGCTGCATGTTTCAGAGAAGAGTAGTCCCATGTGGCTTAAGGAAAGGGGTAAAGAAAGACGGGGGGCAAGGGAGGCCTGGGAAATGCTTTGCATAGGAATTGGGGACCAAATCAGGGAACGCCTGCAATTGTTGGCTAAGGAGTTTTCAATCTCATCCTTTATAGAGTTTAGCTATAATTGTTTCTCCCTTTATTTTGCAGCTCCATTAGGAAAATGGTTGTGGGTATGCTCCTAGCATGTCTGGCATTTGCAGTTGCTGCAGTCATAGAGATAAAAATCTATGTGAGTATAATAGACCCAAGTCCATAAGAGCCGGAACGGACCACATCTGTCTTGTTCCATCTTGACTCTCTGATACTTAGCACAAACCCAAACCAGGCCGACTGCCATGCAGACTAATGGCAATTCTCAAAAGGATTTTTTAAAACAGTTTAATTAGCACTTCATCCAATTCAATAATTCAATTATATTGAGAAGAGTTGTATAATTATCACCACATTCAATTCTAGAATGTTTTCTTCTTTCTTAGACTCAATGTTATTCATGTAATTCTTTTGTTTTCTAATTGTGACAAAAATATACACAACAAAACATTCTCCAATTCCACGGCCTCTACATGTATAATTCAGTGAAATAAATGGACTTTTTGCAACCCACCCTTTCATGTGCGTCAGAGTAGAAGCATTCTCCAACTGTTTTTCATGACTGTGACCTTGTGAAAGCAGATCAAGTAGTTCTTCTAGGGACCTCTGAATGGGCTCAAATCAGCAGCCCTTAGGTTAGTAACCTAGTTAGCTCTTCACTGCTTAGGCCACATGGGGACTTCAGGCACTTAGCACCAGACCAGAAAAAGCAAAATCCCTCCCATTGAGTCAATTCTGACTCAGAGTGGCGCTATAGGACAGACCAAAACTGTCCCTGTGAGTCTCTAAGGTTATAAATCTTTATGGGAACAGACAGCCTCATCTTTTCCCTAAAGAGTGGCTGGTGGGTTTAAACTGCCCACCTTGCAGTTAACAACCCAACATGAAGTAAACCACTGCACCACCAACACAGAATACCTGTTTTGTGTTGTTACTGGCTCCTGTTCAATCAGCTTGAACTCATGAAAATCCTGTGAGCAACTATTGTGATCGGGGTTTTCATTGATTGATTGACTTGGGGGATTACATTAAGAGGCCTTTCTTCCGAATCTGTCTGAGTTTGGGAGCTCCGCTGAAACCTGTGAGGCATCAAGGCTATATACAAGCCTCCGCCGACAGACAAGTGGGGGCTGCACTTCAGGAGTATCAGCCAGATCTTACAAATGGAAGGCAAGATTATTACCACCAAAGGTCCATGGCCCTGACCTGTTATATCCAAAATACCTCATTGCCATTGAGTTGATTCTGACTCATAGGGACCCTGTAGAACAGAATGGCACTGCCCTTGTGGAATTCTAAGACTGTTCATCTGTACAAGAACAGCAAGCCTTGTCTTTCTCCCTGTAGTTTCAAACTGCTGACCTTGTGGTTAGCAGCCCAACATGTAACGCAGTATGCCACCAGGGCATATTTAATAAGTACTTGTGATAATGAATAGATAAAAGGGTGGAGCTCCAATGCAAATGAGGACCACTTCTCATCTGAGTGATTCAGAGTACATTCTCAGAGGATTACCAAGCACGAAAATCCAAGATAGCTAGTCATTTCTTTGACATAAAAAGCTTGTATAACACCTTGCTAGATACTCAACAAATACTGTTGAATAAACTACGTAGTCACTATTGGGAAAGGAAGTATGATAATGAAAAATCAATGAAAGCCCAATAAAAAAAGCATAGAGTTGGTATCTGGGGTTGGTCATTGTGCCATTGAGCTGGTGTTTCCCACATTTTGTTGTCGTCCGAGTTTCTAAGCCAGATGCTCTTCAGAGAGTGAACTTCGTCTTCTTGGTTAATGGGATAGGTTGTCAGAGGCAGGACTGAAATAGATGTTCCTATTGTATCTGAAGGGTTATTAGTTGGTGAATCTGACATGTCTTCTCTGTCCTAAGGAAATGGTACCTTCCCAAATGGGTCCCCAGGAAGTTTTCCTACAAGTCTTGAACGTGGCAGATAACGAGGTGAAGGTGACCGGGCTGGCAGCTAACAAGTCTCTGTTGGAGAAGTCCATCAAACCCTTTCAGGTGAGTCATGGGCCTGAATGAGTTAGAAAATCATTCAGAGAGTGTATGTGTTTCATGGTCAGCACAGCCATGTGCATTTACCCACTGAAGTAGCAGGATAATAGAGTGGTTAAGAGCAGGGATCTTTTAAGTCAAAATGACTCCGTTCCATTCCTAGTTCTGCCGCTTCCTAGCAATAATACAAGTTACTTTATCCCTAAACTTCAGTTTCCCAATCTGAAAGGTGGCAATACTTTCTATGCCATAGATTATTTTGTAAGGATGAGTAAGTATTATATGTAAAATACTTAGTATAATATCTGGCACATTGTAAGCTCTCTATGGGTTGTAATTTATTGCTGTTATTATTATTTAAATTGCCTCCTAATTCACAGGCACTCTGGAAGGGCTTGTCTTGCATATTCTCATGTCCATTCATGTAACTATTACGAAATTGATTTTAAAATATTGTTTTATACTAACAAAAGTAATGTGTATATGTCTATAAAAATAACCCATAATTCCACTACTCAGAGATAATTACAGTTAGCATTTTGGTATAATTGAGTAAACAAACTAATTTCTAAAGAGTTCTCAAACTCTATGTGTTGCATTGATCTTTGGTTTTTTTCCTTAACATTAATCATAATCATTTCCCCAAATTCTTAGGCGATCTTTGAAAATGTAATTTAAGGCCACATCATGTTCCATAATGTTTACAATAACCTTTTAGAAATGGCTTGCCTCTACTCTTCCTAGTCTGTCTCAGTCTGCAAGCTCCACTGAAACCTATCCACTGTGGATGACCCAGCAGATAATTGTAATACCAGTGGCCTATCTTCCATCATCATAACAACACACAAACCACCATAGGATGACAAATTGACAGATGAGTGGCTGCAACAATGGGCTCAAACACAGTCACTAATTTTTTTATAACTGTTAGAATTTTTAAAAAAATTTTATTGGGGGCTCTTACAGCTCTTATAACAATCCATACATCAATTGTATCAATCACATTTGTACATATGTTGCCGTCATCATTTTCAAAGCATTTTCTTTCTACTTGAACCCTTGGTATCAGTTCCTCTTTTTACCCTCTCTCTCCTACCTTCCCACCTTGTTAATCCTTGATAAATAATATATTATTATTATTTTTCATATCTTACATGGTCAGCTGTGTCCCTCACCTACATTTCTGTTGTTTGTCTCTCTGGGGTAGGGGGTTATATGTCAATCATTGTGATCCATTCCTCCTTTCTCCCCTTTCTTCCCCCACCTTCCCCCTACCTTCATGGTATCATTACTCCCATTACTGTGCCTGAGGGGTTTATCTGTCCTGGATTCCGTGTGTCTAGAGCTCTTATCTGTAGCAGTGTACATGTTCCGGTCTAGCAGGATTTGTAAGGTAGAACTGGGGTCATGGTAGGTGGAAGGAAGCACTAAAGAACTAGAGGAAGGTTGTGTGTTTCCTCAGTGTTATCCTGCACTCTGACTGACTTCCTTGTGACTCTTCTGCAAACACAGTGACTATTATGGTGAGGATGGTGCAAGACTGGGCAGCCTTTCATTTTATTGGACATAGTGTCACTCAGCTCAATCGCACCCAACAGCAACAGCAATGATAGCTCACGGATTTATCAGAATTTATTTTAAAAATTTCCTGTATTTATTTATATACCTCTCTATGAGCCCTGGTAGTGTCGTGGTTATGTGTTGGGCTGCGATTCACATGGTTGGCAGTTCGATACCACCAGCAGCTCTGACGGAGGAAGACTGGCTTTCTAGTCCCAGAGACAGGCACAGTCTCAGAAACCCACCGGTGGAGCCCCTAGGAGTCAGCATTGACTCAATGGCAAGGAGTTGTTGGTTTGCTTGTTTTATGGTTTCGCTTTGACAGCTTACTGTAAGGTCAGCAGTTTGGAATCAGCTGTTTCCGGAAGGATCACAACAGGAATTTCTACCCCATAAAGATTTACAGTCTTGGTAACTCACAGGGGCAATTCTACCCTGTCCCGTAAAGTCAATATGAGTTGGCATCAGCTGGATGAGAGTAAGTTTTATTTTTTAAAGCAATATCCTTACATATAAATCTTCAATTATTTCCTAGAATAAAGTTCTAGAAGTGGAATTACTAGGTCAAAGAGTAATGTTGGAAGTATCTAAGTAAGCTGTCCCCTTCTAGGATGCTGAGGTTGTGATATTCGAGATGGGATAGAAATTAACTGTGACAATGGCTTATTCTACAGAAAACACCACACCATTTCAAACTGCAGCTGAATGCTAAAAAACAGGATTTACACTTCCTCTTGGAATATCAAAACTTCTCTGTTTACACTGAGCATTTCTTGGAGGAAAAGAATTGGTACAGTTTGATCCTTCATGGAAATGGAGAAAATGTATCCAGTGTGATGGTAAGTGGAGGAATTCCCTGGATTCCAAGTTGTCATCTCCCAGTGAGAGTAGCCAGTTTTCTGAGTATCTTATCAATGGGTTTGCCTGATAATTAAAATGTCCGATTATTGGGTCTCTGCCGTCAATCGTAACTGATTTTTACTTTCCTCTCTTGTAGGTGAAGAATGTTGGAAACAAGACCACTGCGACAACTGTGAGGTGGGATGTCAGGGAGACCTGGGATCCTTCTGTTCTCTTGATCTATAAAGGTGACCTCTGTGAAGGCCCCCAGTACCCTGCTAATGGGGTATTTTCTTTTCTGTAATCCTTGGAGAGAAATTTAGAATTGAGCAAACCATTATGCCTTCATTGTTGGTAGTTGACTATCAATCATTGTTAACTGTGTTTTGAAAGTAGATTTTTATTGTAACATGAATGCTTGTAAAGACATCATGGTGCAGTAAAGGCAACACATTTGGAGCCAAAAGACTGGTTCTGAATTCAGAGAAGGTTGAAAGTCTTGACAGACAGCAAGGCATGGTGCACCAAAGAAATCACAATCCGCTAGGAAGCAGATATGAAATAGACTGAAGCACATGCCCATAGCCCTTTAGATCAGGTGGTTGCTGTTGAGAATAGCAGTTTGGGGGAGACTTTTAAATGAAAAATGTGAGCTTCCCTGAATAAGGATTTTCATCTGACTATGCCGCAGAAAACAACAGCAGCAACAACTTGCTCAACATAAGTCAAACAGTGACAACCAGATTTCTCTGGGGCTCTGGACCAGCGAGCCTTAGGTACCTCTTGGCAAGGATGAAAGGCAAATGCTAGGTGTGTGAAGGATAATCCAAAGCCCAGGAATCAGTATTCGAAAGTTTAGAGGGAACTGCCCTTCTCATCCCACGGGTCAGAGATCGAGGAAAAGCTAGCAAAACAGAAAATGCTTCTGGAAGGGTTCAAGACTGTCTACAAACCCAGAAATCACGATAGCCTAATATGGTCTGAGAGTCTAGGTTGTGAGTAAGTCAAAGCAGACGTTGTTTCTAATAGGATCAGGTACCAGTTTTATATAAACACTAGCATAGATTTATCTATAAATCATTATTTATATGTTCTTAGTCAAACCTTAATTAGGAATCCCATCGTCAGAAGAAAGAAATCCAATGCACTTGAATGGGATTAGTGAGGACGCTCAGACTTCCCAGAGGAGTCGTCGCAGAGTCCCTCCCAGGTGGAGATCGGGTTAGGGTAGTGCTGATAGAAAGTCAGTACCTCAGGAAGAAGAACCCTAGGATAGCTGACTCTGATTTCTTCTTACATGGAATTGTATTCATTCATCTAGCTAACAGGGAGCATTCTGCCTCGTATGTGCCAGCACTGGGGCCTATGGTTGTCGACAAGACCGGCAAGGTGCCTACCTTTCTTTCTCAGATGTTTCTGTTTAGGAAGGTTTGTCTGATTTGTAAACAATGTCTCTGCTCTCAGGTTTGTCAACACTTTGCAGACAGATATCAATATCTCCCTGGGTAAAGATACAATCATCAGTGTTGGTGAGGCCTTTGGCGTATCTCCCTCCAGAGCTGTGGAAAGAGGAGAGTAAGGACATTACTTTTCTGGACATTTTACCTTGATCAACAATTGCTTATTTTTATGTGTTTTCTTCGTCTCTATGGGGGCCACTTAGGTATAGGGGACTAGTTGCGAGCAGAGAAGACTCCTGTTCTGTTTAGAATTTTCTCTCATCTTTTTTTCACACAGATATATTGAGATCATGGTTGTTGTGAAGGCTATTCTGTCATTAGAAGGGCCAATTTCTGGGAGATTCATAAAGTTTATTATTGACGCTTGTTCCTCCTACCCTTTAGTACCTCATTACACCCTTTAGTACCTCAGTACACAGAACTTATTCCCTCAGGTTCATGGTTTTATCCTGTTCTACTCATTCATAAAACTTGCATGAAAAAACAAACAAACACTTTACCACAACCTGCTATTTGTAGCTGCTATCAAATCAGAGGTCTTATGGTCTTCTCATACTACAAAGCCAAACTCACGGCCATCGAGTCTATTCTGATTATTAACAGCCCTATAGGACAGAGTCCAACCGCCCCCATGGGTTTCTGAGACTGTAAATTATGACGAGATTAGAAAGCCTCATCTTTCTCCCATGGGTGGCTGGTGCTTTTGAACTGCCGACTTTGCGGTTAGCAACCCATTAAGTCACAGCATCATTCAAGCCTTCACTGGTAGGGGACTGCCTACACACAAGGCACGTTGGCCAAGTATCAAACCCAGGTCTCCCACATGAAAGACAAGAATTCTAGCACTGAGCCACCAAGGCCTCACCTCACTAGGGCCTGTCGTCTTGACAAGAAGGTGATTTGAACCTTCCTTGTTTAGGTTTGAGATTTTAAAAGCTCTCAGTGAAGAGCTTAGATCCAAAACATGGCACGAAAACAGACTTCTCCCCTTAAAAGGAACTGACGGCTTCACCGCTTTGGTAGTTAGCAGAGAGGTAAGATTGCTTTGCCGGAGCTGGTCGTGCTTTTCTAAGCCACGAAGATTATTCTAACCGAAACTTCTCTTGATCCAGATACCCGACAGTGTACTGCAGAACAAAAGATGAGGACTTTTATCTGAATTTGGGTCGACTGGACTTCGGTGAAGCGTATTTATTTGTTATTACTAATGTGAGTATCTCATGCTGCTCTACACTCTCCTTCCTCCCCCTCACATCTATTATTCCAAGATCCTTTTTATCTTGGACAGAGAGGACAAGGATCACTCAAAGCACACCCTACTCATGTAAGGCAGCAGCTGCTACACTAACTTGAAGAATGTTAGTAATGTCGACATACAGGATTTGAAAAGGGATTACATTGGCAGCAGGCAGAGGGGCTTGAGAAAATCGGAGACATAATTTATCTCGAACCATTACTATCCTGTTTCCCTGAAAATAAGACAGTGTCTTATATTAATTTTTGCTCCCAAAGATGCGCTAGGTATTAGTTTCAGGGGATGTCTTATTTTTGCATGAAGAAGAATATGGTACACAGTTATTGCTTATTGTTTTATTAAAAGAGACCTCGTACTGCCTGTCTGCTCCAGCTGCGCTGCGGCCAACAGTGAGCTGCTCAGTGGCGCCGGCTACAGTCCAGAGTCCAGAGTTATAGTAGCTTCTGGGGACCTTATTTTTGGGGAGGTCTTATTTTCAGGTGGATGCCTTATATTTCAGCGAGAGGCAAAACTGTAACCAGGTTTTATTTTGGGGGGATGTCTTACTTCCGGGGAAACAGGGTAGTAGTGGCTGGATATGTGGCAACTCAATCTGCTCCATTCTTACAATGGCCCCAGGAAAACAAAGAATATTTGTGTTCCTGAAAAGGTCCTAGGAAATTTGACCTGTTAACACATCATAGTTTGAAATATCCAGATTATTAGTAGATGTCAATCTTTACACAAAATTTGGAGAATCAGTTAGCTGCGGTTTATCACAAGCAAGCAACCAGAGTAAGATATTGCTGAATATTGATCTGGAAAGCTCTGCTTGTTTTAATTTGTGAATTAGCTAATTTAATTTACCCAGTTTTTTAATTAAGACATTTCATGACAATTTTATTGGGATATAATTTACATGCCATACAATTCACTTCTTTAAATGGTGAACATTTGAGTACATTGTATGATTTTTCATTTCCACGAGTGGTTATGAATGTCTCAGGCTTTGCTAATAGTTGCTATTACCTGTCTTTTTTATTATTGCGTTTTCAATAGATATGACGTAGTATCTCATTGTTGATAGCTTTCGAATTGACAGCTAATGGTGCTGAACGTTTTCCCCAGGATTTAGTGGTCATTTGTATGTCTTTTCTTCAGAGAAATGTTCATTGAGACCCTTTCACTTGATTTTATTGTTGAGTGCTAAGCTTTCTTTGTAGCATATAGACACAAATTCCTTATCCGATATGCATTTGCAAATATATTCCCATGTTCTTTATGTTGTTTTTTTCATTTTCTTGATGGATCATTTGAAGCACAAGATTTTTTTTAACATTAATGATGTTTACTTTGTCTATTCTCCCCCTTTGGTTGCTTGTGCTTTGGATGTCATAGCCAAGAAGGCACTGCCTAATGAATGCAAGGCTACAAAGGCTTATGCCAATGTTTTCTTCAAAGAGTTTAAAGGCTTGGGTATTTATATTTAGGTCTCTAATTCATTTGACCACCACTTATCTGTTACTTTGTAATACTGTGGTGGCTTGAGTGTAAATATGATGCTGAAAACAATACCACCAGCACTTTAGCAGGATCACCCATGGTGTGCGGGTTTCAGAGAAACTTCTAGACTAAGATAGACTTGGAAGAAGGACCTGGCAATATGCTTCTTTAAATATTGGCCAGTGAAAACCATTTGAATGGAACATCAGTGTGTTAGTCTGGAGACTAGAGAAAAAGCCAGGTGACTCATTTGTGTGTGAGAGAATTTTATATCGAAGAATAATTGTACATTAAGAAAACATCCCAGCCCCATCCAGATCAAGTCCGTAAGTCCAATATTAGCCCATATGTCCAATACCAGTCTGTAAATTCCTCTTCAAATTCACGCAAAACATGCAATGATGCTGAATTCAGGAAGATGACAGACCAGTAGATAGAAAGTCTTGCGGATCCAGTGGCAGTAGAACCATCTCCTCACTGGTGTGGGTCTTCACATGGCTCCTCTAGCACCAGGGTGCTGGCTAGATCAGCATAGCTCCATGTGGTTTGTCATCAAGGACTGCCCAGCAGAGAGTGTGTCTTGCCTCCAGTGAGCTATTTTACTCTGTTGTGCCTCTAAATGAGGTCATCAAGTTGAGACCTGATTGACAGGCGAAACTCCACCCCATTCACTCTTAATAGTATCAAGTTGACACCAGATTATGTAACCACCACAATCAGTATAGAGTAGAAAGATGAGACCACCCTGCCTTCAAGTCGATTCTGATTCATAGCTACCCTACAGGACAAAGTAGAAAAATTGCTCCATAGGGCTTTCAAAGCCATAAATCTTTACAGGAGCAATCAATCAGTCTCATTTTTCTTCACTGGAGAGGCTGTGGGCTTGCATCTTTGACCCTGTAGTTAACAGGCTAATGATTAACCCACAGTACCACCAAAACTCCTTCTTTAGGTTGGGAGACAGTTAAAATACATATGGGGAAGAGCTGTCTCCTCAAAGTAGAGCCAACCTTTTTTTGGATGGAATAAAACTTTCAGGGCCTTCATTTGCTGATGGGCCATGACTCAAAGTGAGAACAATCAGCTAAAAATATCCACTAATAATTGAAACAGAATTTCTGGAGTATGAACCTTGGAAAAATGAAAATGGAAAGTAAAAAATCAATATTCCAGACATTATTGAGCTCTTTTGAATCAGGCAACCATACGGTCCACCATGCCGATGATAACAAATCCAAGAGGAGGGGTGTCACTTTCATTGTCAAAAAGAACATTTCGAGATTGAGTCCAGAATGCAATGCTATCAGTGATAGGATAAAATCCATGTGCCTAAAAGTAAGACCAATTAAAGATGGCTTTTATTCAAGTTCACATACCAACCATTAATGTCAAAGATAAAGAAATTCACTTAACTCTTCTTTATTTTTTCAACAATTTTTGTAGTTTTCAAAGTGAAACAAATTTCTTTTGTTACATTTTTTCTTAAGTGCCTTAATAATTCACTATTAATTATTTATTAAATTTTCAGATTATGCATTGTAAGTATATAGAAAAAATTATTTGTATAATGATGTATCTTGCAACTTTTTAAAAACAGCTTTATTGGCACTTCTACAACTAGTTCAATCACATCAGAAGAGTTGTACAATCCTTATGACAATCAATTTTAGAAAATTTTCTTCTTCCTTATACTCATTGTTATTAGTGTAATTATTTTATTTTTTTAATAATTGTGGCAGAAATATACAGAGCAAAACATTCTCCAATTCAACAACTTCTGCATGTGTAATTCAACGCCATTGATTATGCTCTTTGTGTTGTGCAACCATTATTGATATCTGTTTCTAAATTAGTCTACCACCATTAACATAAACTCAATGCTCCCTAAGCAAAAACCCTTCCTCCTTCACCTATGGTAGCCAATGGCCAATTTGGGCTTCTAGTTCCGTGTTTTTTTTTAATAAAGTAGTTTTCTTGATATAAAATTCACATATTCATACACCTCCATAGTTAAGTAGCTTCCAAAAAGACTCATATATACATCTCACAATCAGTTCCAGTGCTCCCTCCCCACTCGGAATTCATTGTTTGTGCTCCAGTTTCGCCCACTCCCTTCCTTGATAAACTGTTGTTTCAGTCATTATCTCCATTATCCATTCCTTGTGCTTCATAAACTGGGAAACCTAACAGAAACAATAAAAAACAAAAGCAAAATGAAATGGAAAGAAGAAACTAATAATAATATAAGATAGAAACAAAGAGTAAGAAAGAAAAGATTACCAGTATTTAAAAAGCCAGAAAAGACATTTTGGTTGTGGAACAAGTGAGAAACAATGAAGCCTAAGCAAATTCAGGTTGGGTCAAGAGAGAAGTCAGCTGACCAAGTATCATATTATAACCTAGTTTGATCCACTGTAATCAAGTTTATAATCATCTCTACCTGATAGTAAAGCTGTTCGAGTCCCTTGTCTGTGGCCAGAGAGGATCTGTCAGAGGCTTAATCTGACTAGACACTCATCAGATAAATTTTGGACTCTCGTTGTCCTCCATAGCCTTCTACAAATTGGCTGTTCACAATTTAGGCTATGATATCTTTCCCTTCATCATAGTTGGATGTTGTTAATTGTCATCTCTGGATCACACAGGCTGTTGTGCTTCTTTTGTGTGGACTTAGGTGATGCCTCACTGAAATGGCTGCTCATTTGAATACAAGCCTTTAAGACCTGAGTTAATATTCCAATTGATAGCTGGGCACCATCTGCTTTCTTCACCACACTTTGCTGTAGCATCCTTATCTTCAGTGATCTCTTCATGAGCCGAGCAGGGCCATGTTATAAGAACTAACTATTCTTGAATTAGGGCTAGAGTTGAGTGGGAGCCCAGAATTTATCTGCTTGTCCATAAGTTATGAACAACTTTGGTTTACTTTGGTGGTAATATTATGACAAAACAAACAAACAAACAAACAAGAACAATAACAAAAAAGAAAAACATCGTCAGTCACTCCCCCCTGAGTTATAAAATAATTGCATTGATAACATCAATGATTTATCCAATGGCATAGAATTTAAGGTACTATTGATATGAGGAGTTTATGTGAGTATTTTTGAGCTGTAATACATGAGTTGTCTTGTATAGATTGATTTCTTAATTGATTGAGTTCTGTTTTCATTGAACATGGGGGTTGCTAGGGGATAATTTCTTGGAACATTTCTTACAAGAGCAGATCCTTGCCTATCAGTTAATACCTGTCTTATCAATGCAAGGAGACCATTGAGGTACTAAATGTTTGGTGGTTCTGGTTCCCCTTTCATTGGACACCCACTAAGCCAGGGGTTCCACCCGAGGTCCAAAAACTACCGTTTCCACAGCCTTGGGATGGCCATCCTTTGCTTCCTCTCCCATCACAGAACTTCCATCTTAAGTTCAAGGGCTACAGGTCATTTTGAGATAGGGCCCAGTTTTCTTGCCAGGTTTCCATGTTGAGTCCTTCCAGTGTGACCCTTGGGGCATGCCCTGTAAGGCTAAGCACCTGAGGACATCCTAGTGCCCAGTCCATGGCATGGCTCACTGAGGGTTGGGGAGAAACTTATTCAAAGTGTCTACCTACAAACACGGAACAGGGTTTACTCTCCCCCTTAAGTTCCCTACAATTATTCTTTAGCATCCCTACCTGATGTGAGCATCCTGCAGTTTTTGCTGAACTCATTGTTTAGTTCAAATAGTTTAGTTCAGTGGATTCCTTAGGACTTTCTATCCATATAAGATTGACATTTACAAATAGAGATAGCTTTATTTTTTTCAACTACTTTTATTTCATATTATTGCCAAATTGCCTTGCCTTCACCCTCCAGTTGAATAGACCCGGTGAGAGTGAATATCCTTGGAAAGTGAAATCTTTCATCATCACTAAGTATCATGTTTGCCATGGGTATTTTTATAGATGCCTTTTATCAGCTGAGAAAGGGATGAATATAAACTCATAGAATGCTTCCAGGTCAAGAGCGTTTACCCGAGACTACTGACAAGTCCATTCCTGTTTCCTCCACTTAGAAGACCAGGCAGGGCCCTCAGGCCTGGGAGATGGAAGACATGACAACAAGCAAAATGTCAATCGCGTGGCAGCTGCCACAATACGCTCTGGTTACAGCAGGAGAGGTCATGTTCTCTGTCACAGGACTTGAGTTTTCATATTCTCAGGTACGTTTGTGAGAAAGGAAGGTGGAGGTGAAGGCATTGCTCAGGGGCCTGGCGGGAGCCTGTGCTGTTTCAGTTATTGGGAGGGATATTTGGAAAGGAAGAGCAATGGCTCGAGAGTCAGTTTGCAACATGACATATTGTGTTAGCTTGAGCAAGTGGATGATCTCCCAACTAGTTTTCTTTATGTGTAAAATCAGAATGCAAGAGGGCTATAAAAAGTTCACGGAAAATTGAATTTTTAAAAATTGGCATTTTTCTATGAACTTTTGGAATCCCGTTGTACTTTAGAGTTTATGGATTAGGATTATTGTGGAGATGATAATACTTCTGAATGAAAATACTTGAATTTATTATTGCTGTTGCCCTTATCATCACCTCTTTAATCTACACGAGAGTTCAACCTGTGGAGGCTTTGGTGAGAGACATCTTCTGAATGGACTGCCGGAGCTGGGGGTGGTGCTCTAGGGAGTTTGTTGGTTTACAGACTTCTGTCCTCTCTAGGCTCCCTCGAGCATGAAATCCGTACTCCAGGCGGCGTGGCTGCTGACAGTGGCTGTGGGGAATGTCATTGTGCTTACGGTGGCACAGTTCAGTGGCCTGGCACAGGTACGGGTCTGACAAAAGATGGAGCTCTTGTTTCTCCAAAAGCTTTCTTTTTGTCCTCTCCCTCCGTTTTTCTGTCTCGCACATCTCTCGGTGTTGTGTCATGGGATGCGTTCGATGATACACACAGACTTTCCCAGGAAATTACATGTAGACTTATGTAAGTGGCAATGATAACCACTATAGGCGCACAAAAGCTGACCAATGAACCCAATCTTCTTCCCAGAAAATGTCTGCATAAACTCGTGATTCTGGGTCAATATGTTTCACCTTCCTTATCCTGTGAAGATTCCCTCTGAATCCAGGTCTTTTCATATTCTCTTATCTCTTTCTCCCCACAGTGGGCCGAATTTATTTTATTCTCCTGCCTCCTGCTGGTGGTCTGCCTACTGTTCTCCATAATGGGCTACTACTATGTTCCTGCGAATCCAGAGGAGACTCAGGGACCAGAAAATAAGCAGCTTTCTCATATCCAAGGGAACATGATCAACCTGAAGACCAAGAAGACAAAGCTTTAGCATTTTCCAGAACCCTGACTAACCTAAATGTCTGGTCCCTATCTCAATCAATATCCATCTTGAAGTATTGTTTTCTTTCACGAGGTTAGGTGACAGAAAATATGCATGTCATATCTGTGCTAACCTCCTCCACCTGTTCTCATGATAAAGATGGTTCTAGGACTGGGTTTTCAAGTACATTCTGAGACTGTATGTCTTTCCAACGACATGTGAATTCAGTAAACCTTATGCAGTGCTGTTGAAATTGGCCTGATGTGTTCAGATGGCCATGAAAAGACAAATGTAAAATGGATATCAGTCTCTGTATATAAACGCATGTGAAAATAATTTTACCATCTGTGTAGTGCTGATATTCTCACTTGTGGAGATGCTAAGTTAGGGGACAAAGTTGCAGAATACTGGAGAAACAATATTTCAAGTGTTTGCATAAGTAATGTAGTCATGAGGATATCAAGAATTGTTATGTCTGGTATAATTTGGTCCAGCAAGGAAGGGCCAAATCTGTACTTTCCAAAGTACAGACGTGGTAGCAATGCTGCTGAATCTTCCCAGATACTTTGACATGAACCAGACCTTGAAGCAGAGTCCAACGCATAGCAGCGCTGGCTCTTGAGGTAGGAAATCTTAACAGAAGCAGAGTGTCTGATAGTTCTACCAGAGTGTCTGGTGGGTTCAAACCACTGACACTTGAAGTATCAGTCCAGTGCTTAACTTGTGCACCTCCAGGGTATCAAATCAGGTTCTTCTCCTTCAAAAGACCACCTGTCCACTTTTGAGTAGATTTAAATTTAAACTGCTATATGGAATATTGCTTCTGGAGATGTTAACAGTGCTCTGTAAATAAAAGTTTCTAAGAACAAGTAGTCTTAGTGTCTGTCAGTTTGTTGTACTGTGGTGGCTTGTGGGTTGCTGTGATGCCGGAAGCTAGGCCACTGGTGTTTCCAATGCCAGCAGGGTCACTCAAAGTGAGCAGGTTTCAGCAGAGCTTCCAGACTCAGAGCAGACCATGAAGAAGGACTCAACTCCCCAGTTCAGAGGAACAGCTTTGAAAACACTGTTCGACTACCGAAGGCCTACTGAATGGAAGAACATTGTCGGAGATCGTGCCAGAGGATGGGACTCTCGTCAGAAGGCACTGAGGAGGAGCTGCTTTCTCAAAGTAGAGTCCAGCCTGTGGAAGTGGAGCATTCGGGTCTTCATTTGCTGATGGGGCAGGCACGACTCAAGCTCAGAAGAAATAGTTGCAAAACTCTAACTTTGAATGTGTGAAGTACGAACCTAGGAAACTGGAAGTGGTCACAAATGACATAGGACACATAAAGATTGATAACCTAGGTGTTGGTGAACTGAAATAGACTGATGGGGGCCAGTTTGAGTCAGAAAATCATATGGCTTATTGTGCCCGGAACGACCCATCAAGAGAATGGCATTGTGTTCACTGTCAGAAAGGACATGTCAAGATCTATTTTGAAGTGCAATGCAGTCTGTGATAAGACACCTATCTGGCTTCAAGGACATTCAATTGATACAATTATTATTCAAATTTATGTGCCAACCACCAAAACTAGTGATGAGGAAATTGAAGAATTTTAACAGTGTCTTCAGCCTGAAATTGATCTCACATGCCATCGAGATGCACTGATAATTATTGGTGGTTGGAATACAGTTGTTGGGGGGAAAAGAAGAAGGAACTGTAGTGCAAAATATGGTCTTGGTTATCAAAATGAAGCTCGAGATTGCATGATAAAATTTTTCAAAATCAATGACTTTTTCATAGCAAATATCTTTTCAACAGCACAAAAGGCAACTCCACACAGGAACTTCTCCAGATGGAACACACAGAAATCAAATTAACTACATCTGTGGGAAGAGAGGATGGAGAAGCTCAATCTCAGCTAAAACCAGCCCAGTGGGTGACTGGAACAGACATTGTACATTACATATGTATGTTCAGGTTAAAGCTGAAGCAAATCAAGACAAGGTCATGAGAGCTAAAAGACGACCTTGAGTCTATTCTACCTGAATTTTGAGAACATCTCAATGAATTTGCTGCGTTGAACACTAATGACGGAAGATCTGGGGAGCTGTGGGAAGACACCAAGAACATCATTCGTGAGGAAAGCAAAAGGTCATTAAAATGACAGGTACGTGTAATAGATAAGATAAAATAATAATTTATAAATTATTAAGGGTTCATGAGGGAGGGGGGAGAGGGAAAGGAGGGGGAGGGGGAAAAGGAAAATGAGGAGCTGATTCCAGGAACCTAAGCGGAAAGTGAATATTGAGAATGATGAGGGCAACAGATGTATAAGTGTGCTTTACACAATTGATGTATGTGTGGATTGTGATAAGAGTTGTATGAGCCCCAATAAAATGATTTTTTTTAGATGACAGGAAAGAAAGAAAAGATCAAAGTGGATGTCAGAAGGTACTTGGATTCCTGGTGGTACACACCAAATGGGCCAGTCACATTGACTCAGGCTTCTGGGCACATCCTGGGAACCCAGGCTGGATGCCATAGAACACTGGGGCATTGGATCCTGGATCTTCAAGGCACATGGCCTGCTCCAGAGGCTGCATCAGTGAGATCCGATGCAGACAATCCACCGGGTTAACTGCACTCTACCTTAGACACACTTGAAACCTGATGTCTGAAGATAGACAGTCATCGATGTCTGAGGACGTGGAAGACAGCTGTACCAAGACTGTAGGCAGACAAACAAGGTCTTGTGACATCAATGGTGCTTTTCTTATGACCCCAAAAGCAAACATCAATCAAGCCAGTGGAAGGCGCCATCATCACCTCACCACAAAAAAGGTCATCAAAGATCAAGATGATGCTCATTTGTTTTTTTGATGTGACAGGGATTGTTCATTTGAGGTTCATTCCACCAGATCAGACTGTTAATCAAGCTTTATATCTAGAGGTTTTGAAAAGATTACATTACAGTGTGCAACAAAAAAAGGCCTGCTTTGTGGCAGATGGGGGACTGGTTTTGCCACCATGACAATGCACCTGCCCATGCAGACATCTCAGTGCTCCAGTTTTTGGCAAAAAGCAGCATGTCTCTCTTGCCCCATCCACCTTACTCACCTGACTTCGCTCTGTGTGACTTCTTTTTGTTTCTGAGAATGAAGAGGGACACAAAAGGACAGTGATTTGACTATGTGGGAGAGGTAAAGAAAAAATTGAGGGAGGTGCTGTCAGCCATCCAAACAGATGAATTTGAAAAATGTTTCCAAGGATGGAGAGTAGTTTGAAGGAAATAAGGTTGTTTTGTAAAAAAAAATTAAATACATAGCTTTGACAAAAAATTCTGTTTTGGGGGGTGTACCCCCATGTATATTATTCTAGCAAACTTATGGCTGACATTCTCAGTGGATATTAGTGTAAATTTTACCTGACAATCAACTCACATTGTTTGTGTAAATAGCTTCCAGTCACAAAAGAACTGATTCTGTACAAGTGAATAACCCAGTTACTGTGATGTGGAGTTAGCCTATATTGGCCCAATATCCCTCTCTCAACAGGCCTTAAAAAATTAGTACCAGGGGTTAATGGAAGATTGTGATGCCACAGGGGGATGATCAATAAGACTCTCTACCATAAATTAACAAGGATGTTTTGAAAGGGAGTAAAGGCAGATAAAATCAAAACACAAATCCAGGATGAGTTTGGGGCTCACATTTATCCTAGCTCCAACTTAAGAACAATTAATTCTTACATCATGGCCCTGCTCAATACTCACTCTCAGGAAGGGAACACAGAAGATATGGGTAATAATAGCAAAGTGTGGTGAAGATAGAGATGGTGCCTGGCTATCAGATGAAAAAGGCCTGTCTCCAAACAGACAGCCATGTAAGTGAGATGTCAACTAAGTCCACATGGAAGAAGCACACCAACATCAATGACCAAAGGATTGTAAATCATATAATCTGAAGTCAAAGGAGGGAATAGTATCAGAGCCTAAATTGTGAGAATCCAGTTTACGGAAGGCTATGAATGACAGTGGAAGTCCAAGATACATTTGTGGGATCTACACAGGAAATAAACCTCTAGTGATTTCCCTCTATCCATAATAGACAGATGGGAGGAAACTAGGAATCAAATACAGTGCATTGCAGAGATGACTACAGAAATCAAAAGGATAAACCTGGCTTTAACAGTTAAAACCTGGCTAGTTGATCCCACTCTGATGCCAGTTAGACCTGATCTGGTTTTTAACATTTTCTGTATTTTTTTTGGTCTGTTTATTTTGGGATTTATCTCAAATGTGTTATGTCATTGGGGATCACCCTCTTGAATTTTCATTTTTTGTTTGTTTTTCAGTATATGAACCCCAGGATCAATGAGCCTATAGGGACAGCAAGTAGAATCATCGTTTGTGGGGGATACCGTGGTGGTGGTGGTAGGGTGCGGGGGTGCAGTAAAAGGGGACTAACGTCAAGGAGTTCAGGAAAGGAAATAATGTTTTGCAATGGATTGTGGTAACAAGTGTACAATATTGCTTGATGTGATTAAGTGATGGAACGGCATGATATCTCTATTAACTCCCAATAAAATAGTTTTGAAAATAATAAAAAATAAATAAAACCAGGAGAAGAAGGGACTCTGAAACTTGCTCTTAATCAAAGAGTGGCTGAAGCAAATGGAAGGAAGGAGAAGTCAAAGAGCTGAATAGACATTTTCAAAGGGAAGCTCCAAAAGGCAAAGTCAAATATTACAACGAACTGTTCAAGGACCTAGAGTTAGAAAACCAAACTGGAAGAACATGCTTAGCATCTCTTAAACTGAAAGAACACAAGAAAAATTCAAGCCTTGAGATGCAATATTAAAATATTCTATGAGAAAAATATTGAATGATGCCGGGAGCATCACAAGAAGATAGAAAGAATACACAGGGTTACTGCACCAAAAAGAATGAATAAAAATTCCACTATTTCAGGAGGTAACATATGATCAAGAGTGGATCATACTCAGGAAGAAATTCAAGCTATACAGATGACAATAGGCAAAAGCAACCTCTAGGCATTGATGGAATACCATTTGAAATGTTTCAACAAGCTGATGAAGCGCTAGAAGCACCTACTTGTCTATGTCAGGAAATTTGGAAAACAGATACTTGGCCAACTGGCTGAAAGAGATCCATATTTGTGTCCATTCCAAAGAAAGGTGACCCAACAGAATGCTCAAACTATAGAACAATATCACTGATATCACATTCAAATAAAAATTTGCTGAAGACTCTTCAACAACAATAGTAGCAGTACATTGACAAGGAGTGGTCAGAGATTCAGGCTGGATTCAGAAGAAGAAGCGGAACTAGGGACATCATTGTTGACGTCAGATGGACCTTGGCTCAGAGAAGAGAATACCACAAAGAGATTTACTGTGTTTCATTGATTATACAAAGGCATTTGACTGGGTGGACCATAATAAACTGTTGATAACCTTGAGAAGATTGGGAATTCCAGAACACTTCTTTTCTAAAAAATTAATCATTTTATTGGGGGCTCGTACAACCCTTACCACAACCCATCCATCCATCCATCCATCCATCCATCCATCCATCCATCCATCCATCCATGTGTCAAGCACATTTGTACACATGTTGCCATTATCATTTTCATAACATTTTCTTTCTACTTGAGCCCATGGCATCAGCTTCTCATTTTCCCCCTCCCTCACCCACCTTCCCTCCCTCATGAACCCTTGATAGTTTATAAATTATTTTTCATGTCTTACACTGACCAATGTTTCTCTTCATCCACTTTTATGTTGTCTGTCCCTCTGGGAGGGGGTTATATGTAGATCACTGTGATGGGTTTCCCCTTTCTCCTTCCACCTTCCCCTTCCCCTCCT